GGTCCTTTTTATGTCTCGAGGCACAATGCTGACCCACGCGTTCCATCTGATAACTCCTGTTTTAGCAGTTTGATGTCAGCGTGGGATGTTGGGCTCCCGAAGCTTCCTATACTCTATAATGGAAAGTGGATACACCGATTGTGTCGTGGGGGGGGAGATGGCCTCCCTCCGAATTTCCTGACGAGGGTGTTTTCAAAGCGGTGCTTACGAAGCCAAGGGAGGTGCGGGGGGGTTGGGTAATGCGAGTGGTTCTGCATGAAGGCAGTGTTCTCTCTTCTAGGTGCTTCACCTTGGGTTTGCTTCAGGGCAGCTTCCCCTGGCATTTTGAGCACCCTGTCCCTCCAGTTGGCATGGAAACCTTTTTTCCCCCCTGCCTCAACCTTAATGACAAAACCTAATGCAGCTTTTAAAAAAAAAAAACAAAAAACATTTTGCTTTTGTAGCGTGTGCATGTATGAGGAGTTGGAGGGTGTGACAAGTGACACAGCGCTCGGCGCTCTTATCTTGTCCCTGGCTCTGTGCAAGAGCCCTGGTCAGTCTATGCTGTCCACCTCTTTCCAATTCCCCTGCAATGGCCAGAGAGGAGTGTGAGGTGATAATCCTTCACCTGCCCAGCTGTTGTGATATCTGTGCTGAGCATTACTCAGGTGAGGTTTTCCTCCCCACCCTGCCTGCTCTTTTCCAGCCTGCTCCAGAAACTTGCAGCTAGTTGCGTATTCCCACCTACCTTTAACCTCGGTGTTGGTTTAAGAAGGATGAACCCAGCTGATTTTTAGGCTTTCTGCTGCAGCTCAGCCCACCACCCTATCGTGGAAATGTGGGACAGTTGGGGCACAATTATTTATCTAACGATATTTAACGAAAATTGCTCAAGTCTGATGGGGATGAGTCCGGACTTGGCATAGCCGCGGCAGGACAGCAAAACAGAGGATCCCCTTGAGATCCTGCTTGTGCAAGCCCTCACTGCCAGTGGTGAGTTAGAGGTATCTCCACTGCTCCTAACAAGCTCCTGTCATGCCATGTGCTGATGTGTTTTTATTTATTTTTTTAAGGCAACAGATTCTAAAAGCAGAACAGTTTTTGCTGCTTGCAGTGTGGCTCAACAGAAGTGAATGAGGCTTAGATTTGCTCAGACCGCAGAAGAAAGCCCAGATAGAAAAGGGGATTTTATAATAAAAACCCTCAAACCTTAAATAGTTCCACTTACACAAGATCCTTGGTATTTTCTGAGAAAATTGGCTGAGAAAAACCATGGTAGTGCTAATGCAGTATTCTGCTCTGATTTAGTAGCCTATTTACTGTGCTGGTAGATCTAAAGTAACATGCACTGACACCTGTACAGCCAAAAAGTTCCTGCTCTCTAATTTCTGCTCCTTTATCACCAAGAAAAATATGGTCTTAAGATGCTATAGACATCCAGTGGTGGCTTCACTTCAAAGACTTTTGGGTCTTCTCAGGTGTTAAGGGCAGCACTGGGGGCCTGTACAAGAGAAGGGATGGAAAGGAGATCTTAAGTGAAAGGAGATCTCTTAAGGCAAAAGGTGAAAAGCCTTAAACTTTGGCATATGACTTTCATGGGTTTGTTTTCAGGGTTGTCTTTGCATAGATGTCATTATCTAAACAGGGGTGGAGGGGAAGCAAGTAAGGGATTTCATTTCTCTGGGTTGCTATCAGGGATGTTATGTAAAGGGCAGCTGGAATGAAACAGCTCTGGAGTATAGGAAATAAATTTCCTGCTACAGTTCTCGCTTGCAAGTATTAAATCTCCTTGTTCATGTCGAGAAGCTGGATGGGTCCTGTTCTTTTGCAAATGGTGGGAGATAAAAAATGGAGGCATGCCACAGTGCCCTGGCAGGGCTTTGAATGTGCTGACACGAGACCACAAGTGTAAGTCTGATGTTGATAATTCATCAGTGTTGCTAAAACTGAAGTGAACTCCCAGCGAGTCACTTGTAGCGTATTCAGTAATGCTGCGTGTTTGTGTGCATGCATCCTAGAAATTCGGGATATGCGTGTCGCCTTGATGTGGCTGCCAGGGGATGTCGGAGATGCGTTGCTGACTTTTTTGGTTTTCCCCTGGGCAGGACCTGGAGCGCAGCCTAACAGATAAGGTCGGCCACCCCTGGCAGCTCTCCTTTAACTCTGTACGAGGACAGAGACAATAATGTCTCTAGCTAGCTAGCTTGCTGAAAATAGGCTTTTGCAGCCTCATTTGTCCAGCAAGGAGGACCACAAAAATAGAAATGAAAATTTTATGTGTCCCTGACCTTTCTGTTTAAGTAAGCTTAATCCTGACATTGAGGTATGAGATCTAGTTATCACTCCTGGTAGTGAGATGTAGTTGATGATCAATGGGTAGTTTCTTCCCTCTCAGCAGAGGGTGAATCCATGGTTTTCTGTATCCATTTTGTCCTTGTGAAGGGCTCCTCTGTGGAGGTGCAAGGGTCAAGCGTGTTGCATCTTTTCAGCCCTGCATGACTGGAGGGAAGCAGCGATAATGCCGTGAAGGAGGAGGAGATGAGTGGCAGGCTGGTGGTGGTTGGTCTTGGGCTTTAGCCAAGCTATTTCCCGCTGGATGTGTCACAGGCAACCTCATGTTTTATCCCACACTGCCTAGTGGGTTCCCCTGCGGTAAGGAAACGGGTGGTTCCTAAGCCAGGCAGAAGAGCACTTGGGAAGTGTCTGCATATTTTTTTCCCCCCTATTTTTCATGTTCCACTGGATTTGCTGCTATCCCCGAGTAATGTTATAGCACTCCAGTGAGCCTTTTAGATAACAGCCCGGAACTGGGATGGCCGTATGCAGCTGTCTCCTTTCCCTAGATGAAGTCTGAGTGACGTATTGCTTGGATGAAATGATGAATGAGGTCCTGGGCCTTACAAAGCATCTTCTCCATACCCAAAACAGCTTTTTTGAGAAGTTTGAAAGATCCCGGTCTGACAGATGTAATTAGATGGTTTTGCTTGTGTTGATAAAGCAACACTTTGCTCATCTGAGATGAGTACCTGAGAGAGCTGTCAGTGCAGAAGATTGATACGTGCTTGAAACCGATAAGAGGAACCAAGAGTTGCTGCGTGATGAAAGGACAGCATGAATTTCTGTTGCGTTCGCGTGCATCCTTAAGAACAGACTGCGGATACGCAGATATCTTTTTAGCACCTGCTTGCTGTTGTTCAGGGTTGTGGGCATTTTTTGTCTTTCTAGAACTATTTCTTGCAAGAGCAGAAAAACCAAAACATGTTTTCTCCTCCGTGAATATTTATGGCTCCCAAATCTTCCAGCATGCTTTTGCATGTGTAATTAGGCTGTAAGCTGAATAAGTGAGCATTGGAGAACTACAAATGTAAGAGCCTGGGGAAAACGCTTGATGTTTCTGGTTTATTTGGGTGCTTGCTTTTTAATAATAAATAGCATTTTTTAGATGAAACAGTTTTTCTCTTCCAAAGGATGTGTCAAAACCACTAATAATTGGGACTGTTGTACCAACAGACTTGTCTAGTTAAGTGCTGCTTTTAATCTCACGTACAGCATCCGAGTGAACTTTGGGAGAAGTTGGGTGAGGTAGCCAAAGCCTCTGAACCAGCTTATTTTGTTTAGTGGAGGATGAAGGTAATCCTTCCCCTCTTCTCTACTGCAGTCAACTCTGTTCCCAGTTTGAGTTGCAGCCTTTTAACCCCACTGTGGACATGACTTGAATTCCTGTTTGATCAGGGATGGTTTTGGTTAAAGCAGCTTTCTGTGTGCAAAAAAAATGATGTGCTTTTTTGGAGTTCTGGTGTTTTCATGTGAATTGCGTCCTCAGCTTATTTTTTGGAGGGGTAGTAGGTCTGGGCTTAAAGGTGCCTGTGTGTGTGGTCAGCCTGTGAAATGGCATTGCAGGAGTTCTTATGGGTTAGGATTTGGAAGTCCAGATCTGGAAAGGAAGCAAAAACCTCATCTGAATAGCTGTAACTCTGTGTTACATCTCTGTACTTTTCCACAGCTTGGTCTCTCTGGAAAAGTTTTTGGTCTTCAGTGGGTTTTTTCCATGCTGTCACTACTCTCATTTGAATGAAAACTGTTCACGTGTTTCATGTATAATTTTGGTAGCAGCTCAGTCTTGTGGGTTTTGGGGGGAGTGTGAAGATGAGGACTTAAGGAGAAGGATGCATGGACAGTACCTGTGGTACTAGTGATGCTGCAGAGAAGCTGCCTTGGATGTAAGCAGTATGGAGTGGTCTTGTGGCAAAAAAAACCCCTGAGTTTTATTTGGTTTTTTAGCTTATACCCCAAAAATTGCTTCATAGGTACCCGAAGAAAATGTTAATGTTGGCACTTGGAAGTTTGAACTGGGAACTTCCCGGGTACCCTTGTCCCTGTATCTCAGCTGCATATTAAGTGACATTTATAGTCTCTAAACAGCAGTTTTCTTTCCCAAGAACTCTGTTGCTTTACGCTTAGATTTATGGAGGCAGCGTGGTGAGTTGACAGGACATTAATGTGCTCATCTTCAAGTCACTGCGTGTGATCTCTCACAGCCTGCTCCCTTGGAAGTGCCTGGGTGTTATTGTTGACTCTTTAATGAGGACAAGAATGGTTTCCAAATGAGCGTGACTCGTGCAATCTTAGCCTCAATCTATCAAACAATGATGCATTGGATTAAATGATTACCTAAAGGATTAGGAGTTAGATTTTTTTGGAGGAGGCAGGGGGTAGGGGGAGAAGCGAAGAGTAGAAATACATAGGGAATCTGAAAAAAACCAAACCTCAAAACAAAAAAAGCTGTAAGACACAAACCCCAACTGATCAGATAATGCCAAAGGCTGCTCCTACACTTGGTTTACACTTCCAGAATGCAAAATGTTGTAAAAATTGATTCTCTGCTTTTCTCCAGAGATCATTCTCTGCCAAGAAAGTGATACTTCACCTTGTTCTGAGCCTTCTGCTTGGTTCTTGTTGCCTGTCAGGTACCTGTGATAGTACACTCTTCTGATTTTATTTTATTTTTTTCCCCTTTCCAGCTGAAAGTGAAAGTGCTGGCTGCGTGTTACTGCACACATCAAGGAAGGTAAGTAGGCATGCTGTGTGATCAATTTATTTTTTTGATCATCTAGAAGCAGAGAAAAGAATCTTGAAATGCTGGGGGGGGGGTGTGAGGAGGTGGTTTCTACTGGCCTAAACAGAAGGCATGTTAATGCCTCTCTCCTTGAATTCCTCTGTCTTTCTTTAAACCTAAAAAGCCATGTGCTGCTCGTTCTCCAAACAATTTCTCTGTAATACTGATTGTTCCACTGCTTTTTGTCCCAGACAATTCCTTGACATGTTAATTCATCACTTTCTCTTCTGCAGCTGCCTGCAAAGGGATCCAAGCATACACCACAGAGATTCAGGCTGCTGAGCTCCTCTTGAGCCGAAAGCAGAAACACCCAATAGACATTGCTGTGATTTGGTTTCCTGTTTATTCCAGCTAAGCAGGTCTGCCTTCACGAGGTTCAGCAGGAGTGAATTCCCTGGAAACATGTAGTCTAGGAGGACGATTAGGAAACAACACTTAGTTTACACTTGCTCTTGAGACCCTAACTCAATAATGATAAGGTGAAAATACAAAAAAACCCTCATGTAGGCTGTATTACTACAAACCTCTGACTGTGAAAGTACGCAGAAAGTATGCAGAGAGGAAATGGGTTGATATTTAATACCACGTGAAGTCTTGGTCTTTGGGGCTGTGAGGCATGGCTCCTAGTACTTTAAGTTGTCTTGACTCTTGCCTCGTCTGCTGGTTGGAGGGGCTGGCTGGCTGCATGAAAACTTGTAGTGTTGCTGATCCTGGTAAATCATGTAGTGCAGGCTTTGTTGAAGGTTGTAACTTGGGTTCCTAAATCTGTGTAACAAAGCCTTGGGGGCTTTTTAGGGAATACCAGAGAGCTCTCTAACTCTGCTTTTCTTTAGGCCTCTGAGACAGCTCAAGTCCTGAAAAGGTATTTCAGCAGGCTGAATTAGTAGGGGGATGAAAAATAGTGTGAAGAATAGCTGAATTAGTAGAAGAAACCTTGCCAAAAGAAAAAAAAAAAACCAACAACAAAAAAAACCCCACAAAACCCCAAACAAACTCAAAACCCCCAATCAAACAAAAAAAACCCCAAACCAAACCCAGCACCAACAAAAAAATTAAATGTAACTTGATATTAAGTCATAGAAGTTAAAATAAGCTATTCTGTGCTCAGGAATGGAAATGTCTCTGTCAGTAGTTTGTCTTGTCTAATACTAGTGCCAAGGTTCTCTGAGTTGTATGCACTTGACTGAAAGTAACCTAAGAACTTAATCACTTAAAAGTGCAAATTCTAAGCCCAAATGCAGGATCTACCTCTGATAAGAAATAGTTGGAAGCTGCTAACACATAAGTGTCTCTTCTATTTTATTTTTTCTTTTTAGAGCTGTAAGATTCCTGCTTTTCTGGCCTATAGTTCATGCTTGAACATTTTAGTGTGCTGTTGAGCAACAAATGCCAGAGAGCTAGCATGCTTTAGCAGGGCTTGAGAAAAGATACTATTGCTAGTTTTTTGCTTCCAGGGAGGACGAGTGGCAATTTTGCACTTCAAATAAAAAGGAAATTGGGACCTGAGTCATGGAGGAGATGGCTTTGAGTGTCTGGGAGGGGGGAATTGCTAGCAGAAAAGTGGTCAGGTCAGAAGCTTTGTCTGGAGATGTTTCCCTGCTAGGTTCTCCCTGTCTCTAGTGGTAGCCTGTAGTTCTTGTGCCCCCTCAGGAATGCTGGAAGAGCAATCTGTGTCTTGGGCAAGTTGCTATCTGGCATGGCAGTTGGTAGGCATAAATAAGGAGAAGCTCCTTGACATGGTTTGAACTATTTAATCACCATCACAGTGTGTTTGAGGGAATTGGCCCAAGTGACCATGGCAAGAGCATAGGTAGAGCTCTGCTCAGGACAATATGCTGCTTGGACACTCCTTCTTGTAAGGTTCTTGCAGTGTCTGTAAGTGGAGGTGGCCTCCAGAGCAGCCACCCAGCAGAGAAATTGTGTTTTGGGCCTTCTTGATGAATGTTGAGAGCTCTTTTTTGTACGGATAGCGTGTGACTTTGGCCAAGAGACCTTCTTGAAGTTAAGGGAGGTTGTTTCAGTGTGTTTCCCCTTTGGCACAACAGCCTCTGTTCTTGCCATGATGCAATGTGCAGCTTTGCAATCAAGGATACTCAGTGCTATTAAAGCAGCTATTAGGTAGCTGTCTTGGGTTTCTTGCTAAGCAGTTTCGGCATCAAGTCTCCAGCATCAAGTATCCTGGTGTGGCTTGACTATCTAGCTAAAAATATTTGTGAAGGAGCAATCATTAATCTTACTGGAAACCACCAGGTGTCCTGACTGGAACAGTTCTGTTTGAGCTATCTTTTGAGGCATTGCTGTACCAGTGCTTTTGCTAATTTGATTTTGGTTTGTCTCAGGGAGTGATGTATTTATATCCTTCCATGGTGGTTAGTTGCCTTGTGATGTTTGATGTGCATATCTTCCCCAATGTTACGGGAGTAATAATAAGGATGGGTATTGCCCCTATTTCCCATGAGGGACCAGGAGGAGGGGAGTAAAACAGGACTGGCATGGAAAATTATTTACCCAAGGCATTGCCTGAAGCCTCTGGCAGAGCTGGAGCTGAATCCTTCTGACTTGCAGTAAGCTGCTGACAGTGCTGTCCTGCCACAACAAACAAATGATGCTGTCATGCACAGCTTGCTGGAGGATCAGTGTTGATGGAGATGTGGGCAGATAATAGCCCTCTTCTGAATGCCTTTGATTCATTTCTGCTGTCCCTCAGCTATCCCTCAACTTTCTGCTTCCACTGTTCTGCTTCTGGTGGCTTCTGTCATGCATGGGAGAAGTTGGTGATACGAAGCCACTCTTGCTGTTTTGAAAGCTCCTCAGCGCTGATGCTCCTAACCTTCCTCATGCCTCCCTGGGTGCCTCCTCTGCCATCCACCTTGTTAAATCATGTCTAGGTCATTTGGCCTCTTTGCTGTTTGAACCTACCTCCTAGGTTGGACTCTGCATGCCAGACAAGCTGGAATGAGTTACGTTTGGGAGGCGGTTGCTGGTCATCTGGTGACCCCATGAACACCAGTGTTACGGATGGTGTTAGGTGTTTTAACCTGCTCTCATGCAGTGATAATTTGAGACTGACTTGGCCACTTGCAGTTAGGTGGTCTCTTTTAGGTGGAGTTGTGATGTAGTTGTGTCACTGTCTCCTCTCCTAAGAGCAGATGGCAACAAAGCCTTTGGGGTGGGAGCTGAAATCCTTCAGAGGATCCTCCCTCTCAAGGATGCTATGTAAGAAGTGATTGATGTGAAGTAAAACAGTGCTAATTGCAATGGATGTGTACTGACAACTTGATAGTTGCTGTGATAATTACAGTAATTAGTGAGATACTAGCATTTTTCCCTGTGTCTAGGCTATAAATGGAAAACGTAGAGAGGGTACGTGTGAGAGGAGGGTATCCATGACTCAGGCTCTGGGGTGGTCCCATAACTTGGGGGAGAATGTGCCAAGGTCCTGGTTGTGGAGGTAACTTGGTGTCAGACTTGTAAAGCAATTCAGAGCTTGATTCTTACTGAGCTTAAGGGGAGCTGAGGCTTTAAATGTATCTTGACAATCTGGTCCTCAACATGCATTCAAGCCTGGCTGGTTTCCCATTGGAAGGAAGATCCATATAACAAAGCGCAGTTCCCATTTCCTTACTCAATCTTAAGCTGTTGAAGGAGAGGACGGGACTGTCAGTCCTTGACTGGTACTGGGAGTGCTAACTCTGTGTGTGGATTTCCAAGGACTGTGAAATGGCAACGATGCATTTGGAGTTTGATTCCTCAATTAACAAACGTCACAGCTGACAAATACAGAAAAGAGTTGAGGTTCTGTAATATAGCATGGCTGTTTCTTCCATCTCAAGGCCAACAAGTGTGGGACAGCGGAGGAAACCAGCAGGTAGTTGAGACAGTTTCAGCCGCTGCTGGTTTTTTTTGTTGTTTAGTTGTTTTTGTTTTTTTTTTTAATTGATTCAAAGCTAAATGTTATGCACAAAGGAATAAAACTTTCTTGGGAGTGGGAACAATAGAAATTTAGGAAGTGTTGAAAAAGGTGATGGGCTGGATGGCATTCCCCATCTCCCATTTCAGGCTTCCTGACTGGGAGCACTGGGGAGAGATGGTTCCCGGTTTGAGAAAAACTGCGTTAGGTTGCACCGAGATGTATACTGGTAACTTTTCATGCTGTTGAGAACAGAGTCCACTTCTTCCAAATAACTTTTCCCATGTTTCTGCAAACTTCTTGAACTATTTAAACCTGAAGAGGATTTTAAAGGCTACCTTAAGAATTTTGCTTTTAGGCTGGCTTATGTACTTTAACCTAGGTAAAAGACCTAATTTTTTAAAATTCTGCTTTCTATGTCAGGGTATATATATGGTGCATAGGCATTCACCTATAAGCACTCTGTTAGGATAAGCCTTGAAAATGCAAACCTTCAATGCATTAATGTGTAATGCATAAAACTCCTTTTCTTCTATAATGTGATCTGAATGGTCAAAGTGATTCCAGAATCACTGGTTGGGTGGCAGTAAGTAACCTCTGCAAAACTGCTTGTGAACTACACAGATCCAAGATCTTTGCCATTAGGTATTGCATATAGCTGTCTAATGCTCTGACCTCTTCTTAACACAGTACCTGAAATTAAAGAATTTTGAGGAGGAAGTCAGAGCCCACCGAGACCTGGATGGGTTCTTGGCCAGAGCCAGCATCATCCTTGATGAAACAGCCACCTCCTTGGACGATGTTCTTCGAGAGATGTTGAAACACTTTGCTGAAGATCCTGAGAACATGGAGCCAAGCTGCAACTTTGAAAAAATCATGAGCACTTTATTCACGGATTCAGGGACCCCACGAGAAGGGAACGGTAATCAACTCTTGATTTGCTTTTACCTGTGGGTTACTGTTAAGTTGTTAGCCTTTCCATTGGTGGTGTGTTGAACACTCACTACTGCATGGTCTCCAGACTTGCATGTTGCATGTGACACTAGGGGTTTATTTTTCCATGTCACTCAGACTGAAGGGGTCTTATTTCTCCAGGATTTTTATGGGTTTTTTTTTTTGTGGAGTCTTGCCCCTATTTCATTAAGATGACACACAGTGGTGTTCTCTGGGGTAAGAATTCTGCAGCACTGGAGTGTCTTGTCTGTTTGGACCCCTTAGGTGTGCTTGTCCTCAGACAAGTGTCTGATGCTCTTCAGCAGAGACACGCTTGCTGGTGTCTCTTCAGAAATGGCTCCTTAGCCTTGTGATTCTGCATCTGAATTCACACAGGCTGGGGAATTTTGCCAGCTTTGGCTGAGTAATTGGTTGGGGAGGGCTGAGCCTTCACATTGCTCCCAGCCTACTGGAAGGGCTGAGAGGCGCTTTGTTTTTCTCCAGAAACTCAACTAGGGCAGCCCTAGCCAACGTTGTTGGCTCACGTGTCATCTTAAGCTATCAACAAATGTCATAGCGTAGTCTAAAACACTACCTTGTAGCCCAAGATGTAAAGAAGCTTAACTAAGCGTTGTTTCTCTGTAGGCACCCATGATGTTTCAGAGTCAACAGGAATGAATATACAAACATGTACATCGCACCTCAAATGTAACTGTCACAGCCTGAGTGAATTTGTTTAACAGATATGTCAAGTCCTGAGCATGTAGTAAGCATGTTCATGCTTTGGTTACTTCTTGCTACCTATCTTAGAGCTTTGCATTTATAATCTCTTTAATTTAGGCTTTCTGCCAATAAAGAAAAATTAAGCAGTGCCATAAAATAATGAGAACAGTAATTAGGAAGAGGGGGAGAGAGGGCAGGGGATTCAGAAGGCGATGCCTCTTCCAGTCCTGTCTCTTTGTGTGTGCGTGAGTAATGCTAATCTAATAACCTAATATTGCAGTAGGTTGATGTTGGGAGGAGAAAACAGCTGCCTTTCCGAGCTGTGAATAGTTTAAGGACAGAATTCAAAAGCATCAGAACAAATGTTTCCATCTTTCTTTGTTGTCACCCCCCACCCTTGCATCAATCCACTGTGCAGATAAATAAGTATGCTTGGTATTAGTACTCAGCTTCCATTTGAAAGCAAATATTATTTGCAGTTGCAAACCAAGTATGGACAGCCTGTAATGTTTCCCTCTCTTCTTTTCCTAGTTCATCTCTTATCAGACACAATTCAAGGGGTCACAGCAACAGTCACAGGGGTGCAGTATCAGCAGTCCTGGCTCTGTATCATGTAAGTACCTGGGTTAGATTAGCAGAATCCACTGGCTGCTCAAAACTCATAACTTTTCCTGCTGCTAGGAAGAATAGCAGTTTAGAACGTGCCCTTGTAAGTCAAGACGGTGATGCCCTCTCCATCCATCCTGGCCTATGGGATCTTAGCCTCAGCATCGGGCTATTCTTTTTTGCAAATGAACAAGCAGTGACTGCAGTCTCTACAGGTCATTAAACTCTTGGATGCTATCAAAATCTGGTGTTAACAAGCTAAGAATGCTGAAAAAAAATCTGAGCCAGAAAATGCAAATTACTGAGAAATGTTAATGAGAGGAACTTCTGAAAGGGACAAGCAAACTGGTTCATGGACTACAGTGCCTGCCAAAGTCTGGGAACTTGTACCAAAAGATTTCTTAGGTCCTTTGATGAAAACATCTAAACTTTGTAGCTGAAAAACGAAGTCCAATTCTGACACTATTTAGACACTGGTTACTTTGGCTGACAATTAATTCAGACACTGATTAATTGTCAACACTGTTAAACATTGGAACAGACACTTAAGACAGTAAGGACTCTGTCACCTGGGATTTATGAGACATGGTGGCTTCACCCCAGCTTCTACTTGACCAAAACTGGGTTTTGAAATTGTCTCAAAGTCAAGCATGTTGGGTGATCCAAGCTGTCCCTTCACAGAGAAAGGCCAGAGCCTGAGTCACTGAGCCAACCAGAGCAATGTGATTTGACTGTTGTCTGTTCCCTTATGCATATGCAGTCTCTAAGTCAAGTTGTCAAGAAATATGTTAATTCCCAGAGAAATTACAAGGATATGTGGGATAGTTGCCTAAAGGCTTGGGGAGTGCATGCACATATTTTAGCCTTCACAGGCAGTTTGCTAGGACAACTGTCACAATAGCTTTCCTTCTGCTAGCAGTTCTTTTCTCCTACCCTCTGCTTATGGCTGGAAAAAATGTAGAGTGTTCTGCCTTGGAAACAGATGATTTAAAAAAAAAAAAAAAAAAAAACAAACCAAACCAAAACCCAAACAAACAAAAAAAAACAGCAACAAAAATTTCTACCTTCTTTTTAATCTCTTGTGAAAGAGAAAGATGTGATCTCTATGTAAAAACATAACTATTGCCTATCAGGGCTCTGTTCCATGAAGTGAACTGGATAATGTCTGTGCTGCATGCGCTAATGTCAGCTCTAGTCTTACACCTGGCATGTACAGAGCAGCTTGCACAAAGAAAATGAGTTTATACAGTAAAATGGTCTTTCTGCGCTGATCAACCAAGAGGGCTTTTGAGCAGTTTTGTCCACTTTGGATGCCATAGGTAGTATAGGGGCAATAAGGGTATGTACATCCTACTCTAGGAAAGGTAGAGGGGGAGAGTTTCTACCGTTGCATGTGACGCGGCTCTGTGGAGGGCTTTGGAGACCGTTGACTTATCAAAGCATTTCTAGAGTTCATGATATAAATGCTGTGATTATATACACGAAACTGAAAAGGGTATGTTCAGCCTTTCCGTAGAAAGTGTGCCAAGGCTTTAAATGCATCCATGTGAGTAATACTAGCTTCCATGACAAGACATGATTTGAAAAATAAGCTTACAAGCCTGAAGGTGTCTTGTGTAAAACTTTCCTTGTTTCTTCCTTTCATTACTCTGAAGAGGGAGAAGAAAGTGGTGGGAAAGTAGTGATGAGTTATTAACTATAATTATCTAATTATTGCACTGTATTTCTTCTGTAGCTATTGTGCAACAGATTGTGAACATATTTTTAGATCTTACATTTTTCTTGAAGTCAGATTGCAAAACAACTTCCAAAACTCTGAAGTAAAAGGAATTTGTTGATGAAAAAGTTTTCCATGTGAGTGGGAAGAACCTTTAAGATATCTGCTGTTCTTAATCCTTGCATTTAATCTATACTCTTTGTAAATTTTAAATTAACACTGCTGGGTTTTGTGCACATTAACTTTTTATTCCTAGTGGATGAAATAGGCTTAAGTATCATGGTAGGATTATATTAATGAGGAAGAGCAGCTCAGAGAGATGGTTTTGGTAGTGTTGCTTCTGCATTGATTTTGAGGGGAAGTATTAAAGCTGAAATTAGCTTAGAGTCAGAAAAAAGAATCTTGTGTAGGATTTTCACTGTGTTGCGGAGAGCCTGGCTGCAGAATAGCATTGCTAATGGACACAAAAATTTGGTTCTCTCTCTATTCTGTGCTGGACAGAGGGCTGCTCTTTATCTGACTTATCCTCACTGGGAAGAGCAGTGGGGAAAACCTAGGGTGAAATAGCTATTCTGTTTCTGTGGGAATTGGTGCTTTCCTGACAGTTTCAGGTCTATTGAACTGCCCGCAAGGTCAGATGTACCATATGGATCTGGGCTATAGTCACGTGACAGAACAAACCATTGAGGAATTGAAGATATCAAGGTTTGAATGTTCCACTGAAGTCCAGGAAAACAACTGTTTTTTCTGATTCACAACAGGCTTTAGGGCTTTTTTTGACAAGAATGACCAAAACCTGATCTTGCTGAAGCCATGCCAGGGTACCTAAGCTTATGGAAACCTTGAGACTCCCTCATTAAAATTCTGTGTAGCTGAGAGCAGCACAGTACTGCATGCCCCACTAACCAGGAGTCTTCAGCTCTAGAAGAATGAAGGTTCCTAGGTATTTCTGTACGTGATGGCTTTCTAACTAGAAAGCAAATCTTCAGAGTTACTGATTAGTTTCATTAGTCAAGGACACGATCTCATACCTTGGAAACCATGGACACAACTCTTTCTCCTATTCATAGCACTTGCCAGAACAACAAGACACAAACTGGCATGGAGATCTCTTGCTACTTCACTGTGAAGCTGCTGGTTGATTGTTCGTTAAAGAACTTTGGAATGAGGGATAGCCAGACCTGTCCCAGAATGGGGACTGCTGAACTGCTATCCTCAGACTTACTCAGTTATTTAGCAGGAGGAAGTTCTGCTGTTAGTAGGAGTTTGGGGAGGTACTTTGGTACCCCTCCAGCACGCAATGACTGCAGCAGGTAGATGTACTGCCAGGAGGGTGCTCAGGGCCCCATGAACCACCCAGACCTACCATGACCCACAGTCTGGAGGGGGTAAACTGGATGCTTTGTATGTCTAGATCAGGAAGAGGTGGGGAAGAAGCCTCTGTGAGAGCTATTGGGTTTGGTGTTGCACAGTTTTGGGGCTCAAAAGCCCAAGGCAGGCCCCCCCCACTTATCCAATGGAGAGTATATGGAGAAGTGGCTCTCATCACAAGCCAAGTCCTATCACACCCAGTTGCTTCCTTTACTCTCTGACAAATGGAGATGCAAATGCCTATTTTTTAATTTTTTTTTTTTCCTTTGGAGTGAAGGATACCTAATGCTAAGGATGTTAAAGTAACTGTGGTGGATCTCTTTTCTTGATGTGCTCCTAGGAGGAATACCAGCTGTGGGGGTTATTTGAACAAATGCTCCCTGAGCTGAATGGAATTCCCCAGGCATCACAACTTCCAGGCTATGTTCTTCTTGCCAGGAGATAGATATAATTGCTTTCTTCCAGAGCTGAATCCTTAGAAAAACATGCAAGTAAGCTGCTTCATAGTCTGGATTGTGTTGTTGAAGAGCCATTTCCTTTGGCTGCATTGATAAGGCACATGGATTGGTGAAGGACTTAATTTTCAGTGCATTCAACTGATTTGCTAAAGCTGTTTTAACAGGCAAAGCAGAGGAAAAAAGCCTCTCTGCAAGCAAAGAGTGGTTTAGTGGTGTGTGTGCTCTGTGTTGCTATGAAATTACTCTTGATACAGCGTGTCATTGCAATGATTCCTGTGAAGGAGTTTAACTCAGAAGAATCCAGGTAGCCTTTCAAAAACAGGTATTGTGAGGTTATTTTTGGATATCAAGCAAGACTGCCATTCAAACAGAGGAAAGTTTAAGAGTAGTAACTTCTCAGATTTAATCTGTAACTGATGGTTTTGTGAAATGTGTTACTAAGGCTTTGCATTACTTTTGAGAGAACCATATTTCAAGTATTCAAGGATTTGTCCGGACCCAGGGGTTTGTGGGTCTATAGAAGAGCTGCGTTGCTTCTGATTTAGCTGTTGAATAGATTTCAAATAGACATGCTTCAGTTACTGTGTATTCCTCAGAATATTGCCCCTTCTTTCAAAGAGCAAAATGGGATGCTATGGGAAATTAAACAGTTCAACTGTTTAAAACTAATATTATCCTTTAGAGGAATGGTTACGAGATTTGGAGTCTTGTAAACAAGAGCCTCTTCTCCAAAACTTACAACCATCATCTCTCAAGTGTTCTTTGTGTTTGAAGAACTGATTAATTTTAAGTGCCTAGCCACCCGTGTTGGGCTGTTCCGGGTTATGCTGGAGAGCTGAAATTCTTGCAGGTGCTGTGTTTTGAAAAGGAGTTCTCAAATTCAAACCTTTTATTAGAAATTTGGGTCCCGAAGGGGATCTGTTGGAGAGAAGGATGACTCATTTCAGTGCCTGCAGCATGTGTACAGGGAGGCGGAAATGTCTCCTGATGCATTGACCTGTAAGAAATACTTTCCCCTGGAGAAATAAGTAGCTAGAGAGGATGGGTCTTCCTGGAGCCCAGCAAAATGTGCTTACCGGTCCAAAACGATATCCAGCTTGGAGCAACTTTATTGCTGAAACAAACCTGTGCCAAGCTGTGGGTGAGCTGCCTTGCTGGTCACGGCTTCATTCCTCACTTGCAAATTCTGGTTTCTGAAAGCTTGTGCCTGGAGCTGCTCCGCAGAGGAAGATTTATTTGCAGTGGATGAGAACAAGAAGTGTCATTGTTGTTCAGAATTGGGACAGGAAAAGGCTGGCTAGCTGATTACCTCTGCTGGGCACTTTTTCTTACTGCAGGGGATAATTTGTTTCTGAATTAACTTCCTTTCTTGCCCTGTTTAAAGAGGGTTTCTGTTTCTCTTGGGTCTCCATAGTTTGACCCTTTTTATGATTTGGTTGAGAAATGTGTTATTACTCTGATAACATCTTGGGTGTGGGGCAGACCTGCGGCATGTGTGACTCGGTATATCAGTGATTCTGGTGGAGCGTTGCCAGTTCTCGCCATCAGTGCCACACTCAACGCTGCTAGATACGCAGCCTGGAAAGAGGAGGACAGCGAAGCAGGAATGTGTGCTATAATTTAAATGCCCTTTTTATGAGCTCAATTATTGGAGGATCAAGATAAAATTGCTGAGAACACAACCTGGCATCTCATTAAATCATAACCCAACATTTCCTTGTGTGACTAATACTGGGTGAAAATAGATTTTTCAGCTTTCTGGCCAAACCAAAGGAGAATCAAATTTAGCTCAACCCAAAGCAAGAGGGAACTTGGAGGCTTTGGCCAAACCAGACTTGATTTAGAGTCAGCTGAAAATGCCTTGCTAGTTCTCAGGGGTTTTGGGGGCTTTGGCTATTTACCCTTCAGAATTTTTTTCTTAGTGGGAATTTACTTAAGTGCTAATTGAAAAAAGTTACTTCATTTTGAAAGTGACTCTCTTCTTGGCCTGAACTATGCTGAGTATTACCTGCAGTCTTGTGTAACTTGGGATTTCTCCACATGAACCAAATAACTTTTTTGTCCTTTACAAATATTTGCACAAGTCTAATAGGGACTGCAGTTTTGGTTTATATTGTATTTCTATCTGGATTCTGGAATTAAAACAAAAATGGGAGCTGTAATTTCTACAGCACGGAATAGGATTTGAGTCAGCTAAATAGTGGCTTGAATTTGAAGAAAAGCTTGAGATGCTGAATGATGCGTGGGCAGAAGTGACTTGGCCTTGCACTAAAAGTGAGTGAGACACCTTTTTTTTTTTTTTCCCACCCCCCAAATGATATAACAGAGCAAGAGCAGGCTCAGTGCAGGTGCCTTTGTGCAGAATGCACCCTCGCTGTTTCTCCCCTTCATGCAGCAATGCTCGGGTGCATCAGACCTTCTCTGTGGCACCTGTTTAAATCTGGTTTTACTCTGGTTTACCCTCACTAAACCAACTCAGCCTGATTTGTAAGGGTATTATTGACTTAAATTGTGTCCATACATTGACCTAAATGATGTTGGAAGTTCTTCAGTAGTCCACTCTTGGTTTTACTGGTATAAGTGATACTGGGATGCAGATGCACATGTCAGTGTCAACAGAGCTCTTTACAGAAGAGTTGGAAGAAACTGTCTCATAGGTGTGAGAAGGCTCAAACTCTAGCACTGTGGATAAAACTAATTTGGATAAAAATGGGTAATGACGACAGTGGGTTTCTTGGTGTCTTGTGAAATGTGCTCAGTTTTGCTAAATCTTCCAGTACCGCTTAAGCGCTGCGAGATTCTCATGTTGCGTGCTTTCCCAGTCCCTCAAGGTAAGGAAACAGTGGACTCCTGATTTAAAGAAACACAAGGTTTTGGTGTGGCTGCCAGGAAAACCAGCTTGTATGTGACAGCTATCCAATAACAAAGAGCAGCCTTTTAGAGTCAAATTTTCCCCTTCATACCCTGCTCAAGAAGCTCTTGAGCTGAAGTGATGTAGCCCTATGGATTGGCACTGTTGGCAGGACAGTCATCTCTGGAAAGCACAGCCTTAGAGGCAAGTTACTGGAGCTGAAACATAACCCTGTCCCTTCAGGGAGAAAGCTAGTTAGAGAAGAACTGGCTTGGTTAATTATTGCATTATGTAATAGATTTTTCAAATTACTTCCTATAATGCAACATGACTTCATGTATTGCAGCTAGGGGATCAGGGCTCTTGCACATTGGCTTTCCTGCCTTGGGTAGAAGCAAGTTGAAATTCTGGGTTTTGTGAGGTTTCAATTCTTGGATTTATTCAAATGGGGTGGGAGCAGGCAAGCAGGTACTGCTGAGCAGCACTGCTGAGAGAGAGATGGCTTGTAACTTTTGTACCTCCACAACATGTACAAACTTATGTTCACATGCATGCTTTAGTGTCCTGCCCCACTTCAGACATCAAGGCATGTGCTGGTGTGATCAGTCCTTGCCTCGTAATTAGTCTTCTCTGGCCATACTTTGTACTTCAGTAGTTTCTTGCTAGGTCAGGTACTGCTTGATAGTCGTGGTTGGAAAGGGATGATGTCTGGAAAGTGTTAGTACAGCTCTGAGCTATAGGTATCTGATATCTGCTTCTGGCCATCTCTGGAATAGAAATGATGTTCAGAATGCCCAGAAAGCCTTCCTCTTCAAAACAAATTAATTGATGAGCTCAACAGCTGAGGTATAAAAATACTGATAACAGAGCTCAAAATAAGGGCCATCCTTGCTGTAATGGTGCATTAACCATTCACTGTTGCTGACCAGTTCAGGTGGATGAAGGTGAGAGAACTGAAGGTGTTGGACCACTTGAAGGTTCCTGTTAGTCTAAAGCCCAGAGGTTGTGTATCTTCCCCATTGATATGTTGAACTATAACACAAGGAGACTTGTATGCTGTCCAGCCACAGCGGGATTGCTACTGAGGGCTTTGATTGGCTTGTGAAAACCAGTGTTGTCTGTGGTCATTTGATCCCTTTGGAGGGAAGGACAAGGGTTGTTGCAGATCCAAACCATGGGTTTAATTGAAAAGATAGCTTGCACTCTATTTTCAATTACTTTAGAAGAGATTTATTCCTAACCTTAGGACCTGCTGTGATCTTTCTCCCTGTCAAAGCTGACTCAAGTAGAAAAAGGACAAGAGGCTGTGGTGGAGGGGAGCTAGGAAATAAATGAAATACTGTCATCTTACTCATGACCTATATTCTTCTAATTAAGCTGTTTGGTTGCTCTCAGACTTGTGCCTTTGTCAGATTAATTTGTGTAAGTAGGCTGCTTCCAATCTGTGATCAGGAAGTCAAACTCAATAAGAAAATACTTGGTGGTGTGATTTTTGTATGCAAGTTATTAAGAACTTAATAGAAAACATTATGTGCTCCTGACTAGTACATCTGTAGCCAAAGATCTTCAGGAACCATTACTGGAACAACCTTTGGGGTGTGAGAATGCATCTTAAAAGGAAAGAAATGGGCTAGGATTATGAAAGAGGAGTTAAAGGAGCGATGAATCCTCCTATTACAGAGGACTGTGGTAGGTGCTTGCTAGATGAATAAAAGAGAGCAAGCAATCCAAGTGACTTTGAACCAGGAAAAAAAAGGGGGGGGGGGAATCACTGAGGTAGGAAAACACACTTCCCTATCTCTTTCAGTGTCAATAGGCAAACCCTGTGTACATATTTCACCAGCGCTTGTCAGAAGACTCAGGTAGTAAGTGGCTTTAATGGGAACAGGAGAGCTGCCATCCAGGCTGGTGTTAGCCTCCTCCTGTCACTCCACCAAGCCACTTTGCTGTTTTTGCAGTTTCCCAGCAGGAAAAATGATGGCTACCCAGATCACAGCTCTGTTTAAATATCCCAGGATAGACACAGACCTGGTCTTTCATGGCCTCCAAAGATGATCTCTGTGTTTATTTCAAACAACTTGTTATGGGAGTCCAACAGCCATCACATGCCCAGCAGGGCTGGCTGGATTGCAGCCAAGGATTTCCCTCTGAGCAGTAATTCTGCCTGCTACAGCCTTTGTAGATCTTGAGCAAGGAGGTCAGCTTGGTTTCTATAACACACCTGTACCAGAAAGGGAAAAAATAACAGCTGAGAGCAAATAGGGAAAGCCATTCAAACAGAGAGATCTGCCCAAAGCAAAAGTGGAAATATGTTGGTTTGGCACCTTGCCTTAATGTTTCCAAAAGCACTTTGGGAGATCAGGTGAAATGAAATGAAGTGTAAACTGCTCTCCAATAATGGTGCTCTTCTTCTAAGAGGGCTTTTTTGTAGAAGCTTCTGTAGTGGTGCAAGTGCTAGGTATGTTACCAGGTAATCAAAAGAGTGCTGTTAAAAAGCAGATGGGGGAATAGGGAGAATACATCTTGAAATCTTTAAAGTTATTTCCCATAAAAACATGGATGTCAAATTCTATGAAAGAGTTAGCAGAACTGGGCTAATGGTAACTTAAAGTCACTGCTTAAGACTTCAGAAGTGACCCTTTCATAACCAGCAACATTTTGTGTTTCTTTAAGTTGAAATGTGTGTTTATAAACCTTGTGCACCTGGAGAGAGCATGCCATGTGTCACAATGCCAAGTATAACAATGCCATCTTCCTTGACAGTTGCACTATAAAGTCTCTTCAGCGACGTCATGTTTGCATCAGCCGCCTGGAGAGGCCTCAGAATTGGGGTGAAAACTCCTGCGAAGTCAGATTTGTGATACTAGTGCTGGCTCCTCCTAAAATGGTGAGTATTGTGTACTCGTTTGCCCTGGTGCTTCAGAGGGTTCTCCCAAGATCGCTTTGCCTTGGTCGTCTTCTAGGGTTAATAACAACATTTTATTTTTAAAACACAAGGGGATGTGAAAAGGATGTCTTCTCAGCAGTTGTCAAGATGGTTTATACTAACAGCGTCTGTGAGGGGTAGATTAGTCAGCTGTGTCCTCATCTCATACTGGAGAATGGCCTCTAGCCTGACTAGGAGGAGAACGCTGCAGATCAAGTGTGTCTGTAGTCCCCATATGATTTTTTTTTTTAGAGCTACAGCTATGATGCGTGTATTACTCCACAGATTTCCCCCTGTGCATCTTTACCAGTTCAGCTACTATTTTTCAAGGTAAGGAATGCTGTTCCTGGTTAAAGCCATGCTTGTGAAGGGCTCTTGTTAGTCTGCAGCTGATGCCCCACTGTAAAGGTCTGGGTTGCTTCCCAGCAAACTCTTGATGGGACTGATAGTTACACTGCAGATGTGGTTGCAGCAGTTGTAGATGGACTGAGGTAACTAAGAAGACGACGTAGTTTTGTGAGCTCTGTTGCAGTATGGGCGAGACTATTTGGGAGCTGGGGTGCTTGTAAGGTCAGACTCTCCCGAGGTCCTTTGGGATGCGTTTTCATAGCTTTTGGCACTTGAAGCAGCAAGGTTACACTTGCTCAACTGTACTTAATGGTTCTTCGGTGTAGACAAGGCCAACAAATGGCACAGTAGTACGTATTTACTGCAATATCATGGGGGGCATCAAGGTTAATTGGGGATCCCTGTCCTGTCTTCCTCGAAAGCATTGGCTTGATCAAGATGGTGTGTTCTTCCAGCTAATGGTTGAACGGTTCAAAGCTCAAGACCTTTTCACACCTAAGCTGGCTGTTTACACCTTGGGGCTACTAGGTCTGTGCTTCTGGGAGGTGCTGGAGAGACTGGGGACCTTGTCTGGAACAGGACATATCCTGATTCAATTTCCTGGTCTTCAATGCTATCTGTGTGACCTTGGGACCCTCTAATCTGGTCTGTCTCCTCCCCCCCCCTCCACCACCACCGTTGTTTAAATGGAAATACTGGTGTTTCCTTATTTCCCAGGATTTCTGGCAGATCTTTCCCAACTGAGCAGTTCAATGCTTTTGGCATAGATCTCAAATACAACAGGCTGAAAACATATTGATGTTCCTTACGAAAAGCAGCAGGCAAACAACTAAACCCGTGTGCAACTGCATTGATCTCCCTTTCATTGTATGGCAGTTTGCTTATCTCTGGCCAGCTACGTGCAAAGCACCCAGCGAACAGCTCTGCATCCGCTTATATCCTGAAAGTTTGCAATTCCAATGGACAGCATCAAATTAAGGAAAGGGAGTGGAGGCCAAGCAGAGCTGCAGTTGCCAATAGGCTTTTTATTTTAAATGAGTTTATCTAGCCAGCTCTAAGTACGCATTTCTGGTACAGCAGTTAAAATAATTAACCTGCTGACAGTAACAGATTAAATGAGCCTTGCTTGGGGAGGAAAAAAAAAAAAGCCCAGAAAATGGGCATCTGTTGTGCTGAAGAATCCAGATCCTTGGCCTTCGCCAATACGGAGGATGGAAAAAACTTGTTCTGTTGCAGATCTCTGCACACTCTTCCTCTAAATTGTTCATCTCTCTCTCTGGAAAAGCAAAGAAAGGGAGCAGCATTGGGCAGCTTAAAGTAACCCCTTGCCACATCTAGCCCAAAGACCACTGCTTCTTAGAAGGGAAAGGAGAAGCCTCCCCTGTGATGGCAAGTCCAGGCTGGTTCAGTCTGCAATGACCAAGTTTACAAACTCTAAAAGCAACTCCCAGAGCAGATTATCTTCACTTAAATCCAAACACTTCCCTAGAAACTTAAATTGAACATGTCCTAGCAGGTGTGTCTGAAGGGATGTTACCTGTGATGGAGAGAGGGTGATGGAGGAGAGGTGGAGGCAGGGCAGTGTGAATGATGGAGCAAATATAGTGTTAGTGATGACTTTGGGACTAGTGCAGTGCCGCCCACATGTCCATGCCTCTGTGTCAAGCAACACTGAATTATTTGGTTGTGTTCATGAAGAAATTGTTCATCTGCTTTGTTATGAATCATGAAAACTAATTCAGATCAAACGCATATGCTTGCTACTGCTTTTCACAACACCGTGAGGAGGTTGGAGGCTGTCCAAAGGAGGGTGGTTGTTTGGGTGTCTCTAGCCATTGCTGCATGATGAGTGTTGAGTGTAGCTAAGGTGGGTGCGTTAAAACTTCGCATCAAAAGGAGCCCTTAACAAGCTATGGTTTTACATAACTTTTGCCTTGGCAAGTATCTTATCTGTCCTGACTAAAGTGGCACAAACAGTTGAGCCAGTTGGGGTTTGTAGAACTTGGGTTTGTGCAGGGCTGGGGAGCTCAGTGTCCTTTACTGTTCCCTTTGTATCTAATTTCCAAGGTGCTTGGAGCAATACAAAAGCGGGCTTGGATACTTTTGAAGCTGGACCCTCAAAAGATTAGGCCTGTGTCTCACAGAAATGTTAAAGCCTGCAAATAGGCACTTGTTCCTTTTTCATGTTTGCAGGTCTCCCATCCCTTCCAGGCATTTAGTGAAGATAGACAGTGCTGCTTGTGTGTGTGCTCAGCTGCTTCTTTCATATGCTTTCCTCCATGCTGGTAGTTACTTTAGCTAAGAGCTCTAAATCTCCACTTGTGCTGCCAGAATTGCCCTAGAGAGGCCAGCTGAATTGAGTTTTAATGCCCAGAAAATAGGAATCTGATGAAGCAGATGTGCACAATAATATCAGTCTTCTGGAAAAGACATCAGGGCACTCCTACCTGCAGGAACCTTGAATACACCATCTTTCCAACCCAGTAGCAGTAATGCTGAGATGCTGTAGGATAGCAAAAACTCTTTATTTGTTTAGTCTTAGCAGCCTTGAAGGGAGACTGGGGATAAAAATGCATACTCAGCATAATTCAGCTTTGGATCAAGTCCTGGGAAGTTGATTAAGTAAGACTGATCAGTGCTTCTGGTCAGGGCCTGTATATTGATGCCTTGACAGGATCCTGCTGTGGTTGGTTTGTCCGTCTGCAACAGCTTCCACACGTGCCCTTCTTCATCGGGTGTTTCTGGGGTCCTGGAAGCCAGGCAGCTTGCTCTTCAGATGGTGCCCAGTGGGGTACATCAGTGATTTTACCTTTCAGAAGTGAAAGAAAATAGTTTTACAAGGTTTTTTTTTCCTGTCTCTTTTCTGCTCAGAAAAGTACCAAAACAGCCACAGAAGTGGGCAGGACCTTTGCCACAATGTTTTCGGACATAACCTTTCGGCAGAAACTCCTAGAAACCAAAACGGAAGAGGAGTTCAAGGAGGCCTTAGTCCACCAACGCCACTTGTTGACGGTGGTGAATCAGAGACCCTCAGCGATGAGCGATGGGCACAAGTCACATGGTCCTAAGCCACTCAAGGTAAGGTTGGCCAACATCTGCCATGCCCCTGCTTCAGTGGTGTCCAAATGCATAAATGCAAGGGGTTTGGGGTAAGGAGATGGAGCAGTTGTCCTGCTTACATCCATTGGGCTCTCCTAGCAAGCTCTCGGCACTGAGGTTTCCACAAATGGCTGCTGTGTGTATGTCCCTCTTTCTCAGCTCCTGCTGTAAATCTGAAAAAAAAAAAAAATCAAACCCCAAAACACTTCAAAGAGGCAGGTGCTGAAGGGATGCAGAGCAGTAGGGGGTTGAAATGGTTGCAAGGCTTTGATTCCAGATGCTTAGTCAAGGGTGGGATTAATGGATCACTGTGCGTTGTCAGTCCAAGGTACTTAATCCTTAGAATCAGAAGTCTCTGAAGGAAGCTGCTGCTTGTCTTTCCCGCAGCCAAAAGACTTCTTGGCCATCTCTGCATGGTAATTTCACTTAAAAGTTGCCTGTCAGTATTTGGCCTGACTTCTTACTGTTTGATCTGTAGATCTGTAAAATGTTACTTGCTTTGTACTTTAAAGTTTGAGGGAAATGCTGTAACTCAGCTTTCTTTTCTGGAATTTCCTGTGTATTGGTCACTGCTTTGCTTTTCCGTTCAGAAATTCATTCTTTAACCAGACAGCATACCTGAAAAATAAACTGTGCCATCTCTAGCTTGCTGCTCCTGTCTCTGAATTACAAATAACCTTAAAGCTTTGGGTTGCCTACAGTGCAGAAGCCTGTTAACTTATCACTTCCCTGCCCCCCCCGGAATAGACTTAAGGGGTTTTGATCTGCACATCTGGAAATGGGCAAAGCTCATGTATTTCCTGCAGAATCCCCTTGCTTATAGGTAGCGCTCTGAACTTTCCTAGACCCCATACCTGCTCTTAAGTTTGCAGAACAAGTCCTGAAACCCTCTTTAAACCTAGGTCATTCAGAGCGGTGGTATTCAGAGTAGCTGCAGTAATGTAATTTAGGTAAAGTAGGTTTAACCCTTTGCACTTGTTCTTTCAAAGGAGTTTTTGTTAAAGCAGTTGAAGCTTCTGGCTCTATCTTCTGCTAAAACTAGCCCTTTTTAAATGTCTGCAGAGGATTTTCTGCTCTGTGGTTTGGTGAGCAGGAGGGCTGGATGCAACACTGAGCTTGTAGGTGTTGGCCCTGAGAAGTGGTGGTTCCTATCTGCCTCGCTGGGTAAGCAGCCTTTGCCAGGCAGATTTTCAACAGCTCTGAGCCAGTGCTGTCGATAGTGATGCTTGTTTCTTTAGCGCCTGCTCTTGGCATTGACCATTCTTGGTCTGGATTTGGTAAATGGTTGTTTTTAAAATGTTTTATCCTTCAGCTCTCAGGAGATGCAGCCTGTATAGTAGTAACTCTGCTCTCTCATGTCACTTGGAAGCAGCTGTCCCCCATGCTGTCTTGCCAGCATAGACCTTAAGAGCTGGGATGGAGATTTCTTTTTCTGGCAAGCAAAGATTTGTCTGGATAAGTGAGGTTGATTTGAGATCATAGCCTGCATTCCTCGCTTCCTATGAGAGCTATCTCCAGCAGCATCTTCTCCCCCTCTGCCTGCCCTGTGCATAGCCTTCTAGAAAGGAAGCGTTTAATATGAGCACAAACTCATATGAGACCAGGGCTGTAATTTCAACCTGTGAACCACCCCCAGTGAAATAAATATGCTAATCCAGAGCCACTGTATTATTAAAGTGAGCCCTCGGGAGGGTAAAGTCTCTTGGTAGTATAAAAATCTGCTTCCTGCCTCTTCTTCCCTTGGTCCTGCAGCGATGGGAGAAAAATGGTCCTCAAATGCTCTGTGTGTCACTGGGGTTTCTGCAAGTGCTTATTTTTACCTCTGCTAAAATACTAAAGGGGACATGACAGTTGCACACCATGCTGTGCCTACAGCACAGTCAGTTTGCTTTGGCTCATCTCAGAGAATTATTTAGGCAAGGCTAAATACTCAGTCATAATTAAGTCAGCCTGAAATCCTCTTGTTTACTGAAGCATCTAATTGTAATTTTGTTCATGCAGGAACCCCTAACAGTTGTGATGCTTTCTAGCTGTGATTTTGTATCTGATACCTGTGTGGATTTGCTGAGAGGGCTGGGCTATGCTTGCTCAGCATCTGCAGGAGGGAGGATAGTATGTGTCCCTGGTCTGTATAAAATAGTCGTGCAGCCCTCCCCAGTATTTTAGGGAAGGACTGAGAAAGGGGTGGCATTGTTGGAGTAGGTATTTTCTGTTTGGCTGTGTAAGTGCTGGCTTAGCCTCTTCCTCTAACCCAAACAATGGTTGCTTATGGCAAGAGACTTGGAAGGATTTGTAAAATGGATAGTGGAAAATTCAAGAACTTCATCTAGGATTTTTTTCTGTCTGTGTTCCTTTTGCTGCTCTTTCCTTCCTTGTGTATTAGGAGCAGCATGGGCAAAGCACTGGAAGTACTTGCAGAAGAGGAGAATAAGGAGACTGAAGGAGAATTTGGTGCTGGGTACCTGAGCTGCCATTCCTAAAGGCTAATAAACCTTGAGCTTGGGGGGGAGGGAATGCAGCTCTGGTCTCCTGGATAAGACCACCTAGTATCAGGATATTAAATCAAAAAGACAACAGGGCCATGAGAGAGGTGCCACCACAAATGGGAGTGGAAAGCCAATGGGTCAGCCAGACTCGACCCACTAAAGGAGAAAGAAGCAGGGAATGGCAGTCCAAGAAATTCCCAACACTGGCGTGTATGAGGAAGTAGATCAAAAAGGGCAAGAATGGAGTGTCAGCACTGTTCCTCCCAAGGTTTTTGGAAACCTCACAAGGTGCAAGCTCGGAAGATGGCAGGAGGCATAAGCCAGACTGAAACATGTCTGGAGTAGTTAGACCATAAAAATGCATGGTGGATAGGTTGGGGGATAAAAGTAAAACCAAAAAGGGGAGTAACTTCAGAGGTCAGTAAACTTGGTTGTTCATCTCCTCACTGCAACCCAAGTTGAGTATGAGGTTAGTAGAGCAGAGAAGAAAGCAGGAGGATTAGCCATAAAGAAGAAACAGCTTTCCCCATACTTCCCCCTAATGAGGTTTAGCTTGACATCCCCATGCCCCACCCTAGGCTAAACTTGCACATGTGCAAGAAATAAATGCATGAAGGGAATTGGGTGTCTCAAACATAAGCCATCGGCTCCCCCTTCTCTCAAATTTGCCTCATTGTGTGTTGCAGGACCAAAAGTTAGGCAGTGCTTTGCTTTTCTGCACACTCACCGCTGCCTACAAACAGGCATCATGCATGAGTGCCCCTTCCCTCCCCACCTCCCGCTCAGCCCCAGGCCAGCAGCAAGTGTGTGGCTTCTTCCCTGGAAGATGAGATACCCCGAGTATCGTTTTCCCCGGACTCACTGCAGTGAGACGAGTAAACATATTAGTCATTAAAGCTATTGTGATTCTCTGGATGACTTGTGCCTTCAGGAATGTCTTTCTGGGGGGAAAAATTAAATTGCTTTTCAAGTGCATATGGCTTTCATGTCCAAATATGCCTCCAAATATGTTTTAAGCTCATAGCTTTTTCAGAGGTGCTTAAAATGCAGATGTTATGTTGGTGTCTGCCATCTTTTCATCCTGATCTGTTCAGGTTATAGAGTTGAAACCGTCCTAAAGTAATAGAGGTGTATTGGCAAAATGGAACAGAATTGACTTAAGTAGCTGAAATGTGAGATGTCATAGTCGCTGATAAAGGAGCTGGTCCTCTGAGGTATCTTTTGCACCCCAAACCCTAGTGTTTGCTGTGCCCAGTGTATTCCTTCTAAAGGAGAGGTTTCCTTGTGTTTTACTTATGGTTCTGATCTTCCAGGTGCTGCAAAGCTGTGTGTAGTCTGTTAAACAAGCACTACAGTGTCAAGTCCTTTCTAAAGCAGTAGTTTTTATCAGTTTCCAGCCAAAGGAAGATGTCTGTGCTGTTTTGAGATGATCTGTTGGTGTAAATTTTGGACTTGTGATTCCCCCCCAATACTTCCTAGCAGAGGTTATAAGTCTTCTGTATCTAATTCTACAACAAACATGAAATGTTCTAGATGAGACAGCTGGGGTAATTAGCACTGTATAAAGGTGCATTTGATTTTGAGTAGTATGTGTACATTGAGTTGAGGATAACAGGAAAAAAAATATCTGACAGGTGCCTCATTTGCAAGTGTTGCCTACTCTGATGCTTTCCATGTGCTTTCTGTAAGGATGTAGTTGTGAGAATTGGGAGGCTGTAAGTCAATAGCAGCTGTCAACATATTTCTGAAAAGCTCCTTATTGCCTGTGATGAGCATCAGATCATATAAACAATCGTACTGCACCTTGCAGGCCCCCAAACCAGAAATGAAAAGGAGTATATTGGGGTTTTGGAACCCTTTCACAATGATCTTATTGTCTTTCAATGGGTGCAAATTATGGCTTGGTTATGTGAAGTTAGTCAAGCTTGTTCACTTTTGGTGGAGTTTGAGGTGTACACAGTCTTAGTTCCCTTACTACATCTATTTGAGGTCTCCCTTTCACATGGCAGTGCCAAGGAAGGGGGCACTTGCTGGGGATCCCCTTTCAGAGGCTTCATGTGGCTTTGGGGAAAGAGGTTGGTTTTTTTTTTTGTGGTGGCATCTAAAGAAAAAGAAGTTGGCTAGAGGGATGGGAAAGGCATCTCTGACCTGATGTTTAACCCCAGGGTACCCAAGGTCTAATCCTGCTGTTGGCCAGGGTGTTTTCAGTGGGTCACACTGCATCGGCTCCCTCACCTGCAAAGCAGAGATGCAGATATGAATGGGAGGGGGAAAAGGGAAGGAAGGGGAGGAAAACAGGGTGGTCTGGGGGAATTTTCTCTTTTACAATGCTTTTGAGGATATAAATTGAAGTGCGAAGAGTTTATTTTTATTATCGTTACAAAATCTGATTTGAATGCCCTATTCAAAATGACCAGTTTTGCTCCTATCAGTATTGAATAAGGAGGTTAATCTCTTTAACAATACATGAGCCTTTAAACTGACACAGCACTTCCTTCCTTTCTTTAGTTGCATGAGTTTCTCAATGTTGGCAAGGGGATTTCTGATGACATTGCACGAAGATTTCCAGTGTACGCTTTGGACTTCACTGACGGTATGTTGGCCAATGTTTATGAAAGCATTGGCCTGATTTTTAATTTTTGTGATGTGATGTCCTGTTTACAGTGTGCATTGAATGTGTTCTTTGATACGTGTAATAGCGCTTTTATTTCTTATTTAAAAGAATATTTTGGCCAAAGCCTGTGAATAGGCAGCGTGGCACATTATAAATGAGAATCTTGCAGTGTTCCCCTAATGAAGATGCTAGCTGTATGTAGATGAGGATTTTAATTTTTATTAAGCAATGAGGCGATTAAATGGATTGATTATTGTCGTGTGTAGACACAGATCAACTCGTTGCAACCTAATTAGTCAGCACTGGCCTAATAAGCCCTTTCTGCTGTCTTTGCAAGCCAGCATCAATAGCAATTATGGTGATGCTGTGGGAGTTGAGAATGCTTAAACAAAATCTGAGCTGCAGTAACTTCAGCTCGGTGCTTTTAAAAACAGGATATAGCTTGTCTGCTGTAGCCACTCCATAGGAGCAGTGATACGGTGTTTATATTGAGCCTCAGGTTTCGGGCTTTACATAAAACCAACAAGGCTGTTGTGGGAGCTGAGTGTTGCTTTCTCCCTCTTCACTTTCAAACTTTCACTTTCAAAGATTCTTAAAGGCTGTGAAAAGTCTTCAGGGCAAACCATGCTTAGAGAGCCTCAGCCTGACATCAAAACATGTTCAGTTTCTTACAGCTTGTTAGGGAGTTGGTTAATATATTCAAGTAGCAAACTCGGAAAGTTTCCATAAATAGTAGGCAGGGAGAATCTTGGGGCTCTATCAGCCACCTTCCTGCTGTTAAATCCTCCTTAGCTCAAGCCACAGTGTCCCAGCCTTCCCCACTGCACCTCTGCTGAGGACAATCTTCCTCGGAGTTTGCATAAGAAAAGAAGATACATACCGGAGCCCCATTTTGCAGTCAAGTATTCTAGTGCAAAGCCACCTTCCACAGCAGCTGAAGCTTGAGAGCAAGCACGGGCAGGGTATGGATGTGTGTCCTCCACTACATTTCAGCAAGGATGGTCACCACTAGCAGAGGAACAGAGACATCAGCTGTTGGCTGCTTGGCTGAAGGAGATGCCATGTGTCTGGGGGAGTTGCCAAGTAGTTGCTTCCCATGAAGATCCGGCTTTCTTGACTAGGAGTGCTTCACCCACCGCAATGTGTTTTGCAGTTGTTGGTATCCCCTTTGCTGGGAAGAATAAAATGGGGTGAAGTGCTGGCTTAGCGCAGTGGCTGAGTGCTGGGTGCTTTGTAACTGCTGGGATGAAACTGTTTTCAGGAGGCTTGGGGTGATAGGAGGGCAGGCTCTGTTTGAAGTCAAGCTAATGCTATATTCGCTGCGGGGTTGAGGGTATGTTGAGGAGGAAGGCAGACAAGAAATTATTTTCAGGATAGCAGCAATGAGTCTGATAGAAAAAAATATTTTTTGGCATGTGCATCATTGGCACCAGATCTGGCAGGGGACTTAAGCTCCTAATCTGGACACCTCTGGAGTAGGTTCAGGACACTTCATCTCTCTGGTTGCTGCTTTCTAGGGCTGTCAGTCTAACTTCTCATTATAAAGGGATATTGAAGCACTTCAGAAGGGAAGCGCTGCAGAAGCACCTCGTGGGGACCCATGTGCATCTCGAGACAGAGCAGTGTCTGCTGTGGCTGTCGGTGTTCTGAGTGCGGTAGGTTTACAGGTGCAAAAGCATCATATGATGGTCCTGCAGCCAATTTTGGCTGACAGCAGATTTGGAAATCCGTTTCAGGGTCTATGTTCTGGTTCTGCCTGTGTCCAAATTAACCTGTGCCTGCTGCCTCTCAGCCCTGGGGCTGTCAGGTATGGCCAGGTGCTTAAGCTTTCCATGAACTGATGTACACAGCAGATCAGGCTTGGCCTAAACAAGGTGCTGGGATTGACTAGCTTGAAAGAATGGTTCCCTTGGGTGCATCTGCCCTGAGTGATGAAATACTGTCATAATAAGAATCCAGCATTACAAATACACCAAAACCATTTTTTTTCTGGAATAAAAAGCAAGTATATGTTAAAAAGCATCAGTGCATTGCTATACAATTTTTGGAGAGTGGAAGATGCAGAAATGAGCCAACTGAAACTCAAGAACTACTGCAGCTCAAATGTGAAGTACTTGCCTTAGGAGCCGTTGTGCTCTTTCAAGTAGGATATGGGGAAAAGAGGGTTTTTAAAAAAACCTATATATATTAGTATGTGCCATTTCTTCCCAGAAACCAGAAATTAGGATGAATTCTTTAAGGATCTGCGTGGAATGAAAACCAGATGGAGCATAAAGCATCTGCCATAAACCACCGAGACCGAAGGTGATCAGGAATGTGAAATTCCTGGACCATCTCAAAGCAGCAGTGTACCAGAACATTGGGGATTTGAGCTATCCAAGTATCTGCACTCCAGACAGCCACACGTGCATCATCAAAGAGCTCTGAATTACAAAGATGCCTTTTTTGAATGGTTGGAGTCTCTAAATCCTCAATCTGAGAAGCATCCTGGGGTTTTGGTTTAGACAGATAAACCGATTAAGGGCAGGGTGATAAATAATAAGGCTTTTCTAGGGCCAGCAAATGTTTTGTCGGTTGGACTTTTGTGGGATTGATTGGTCATCTTCACACGCTGCACAAAGCTGGCCTTTAAATTATCCTTAACCATCATGATTTGGGAGAGGAAAGAAAGGAATCATCTTTTTCTTTTTTTTGGTCCAGATTAGGAACTTGTCTGCTTTGGATTGTGAGGTCTTGTGCATTTTACTGAACGTGCAAGGATCAAGGAAGAGTTTTCTAAACTTTTGGTCCAGGACTTTAGCGATGTGGATGGCTTGTAATAGGTGTCTTCCAGCAGGAGCATCTGAAGATGAACAGTTAGATTATGCTGAACCTAAGAACACCTGTAACTTTTCTTTTAAGTTAGGATTAACAAAATTTGGCACGTAGTCTCCTCTTAATGACTACAACATTTGTTCATGGGATTCTGGTTTCTTAAAAAAAAGTTTGTACAGAACTTTATCCTGATCTTGTCAAATAGGCTCAAAACGTGTGTGTATCAATACTATTACTCTTTAAGACTCAGTTGAACTGTAGGAGCTTCCTGAATATTTTTTTATGTTGAGGCTGGTTTGAATGAAGGAGGGAATTCTGCCTGGACTTAGCTAAGGGGTTTCCTGAAACCCCTTAAAGTTGCTACTCTTATTCTTCAGTGTGTATTTTCTGGTACAACATGGAGGAATAAACACTTAAGAATGTAGCATCTGGAGTGCCCGGGGAGAAATTTGAGGTGCCTGAGATTTTTATGGTGAGCTTTCATGCTGTGTTCTGCTGTATCCCTTCACCTGTTGAGGAGGGAGGGTGAAGGGAAGAGAGGAGAGCTGAGACTTATTCTGTTTCCCCCTGTTTTCCTGGACCCGTGTCCTCAGCACACGGCCGTGGTGGGTGGATAGTTCAGCTGGAGATGTGGATTCCTCCCTGTCCTTGGTCCTGCAGAAGGTCCCTCACCAGCTCCTGAGAGTAAGGCGAGCGCATCTGCAGGCAGCATCCTCAGGATTCGGTGGCCGTGGTTTGCAGGAGGGAGATCTCCAAAGCTCCCTATAATGCAGGCATGCTTAGAAGGAAGACTTGAAAGCACTGGAAAAATGGGATTTGAAAGGGAAGCTTTGTATTCCTGGTTGTCTAAGACAGCACAGAGCTTAAACCTGCTAAAACATTGACTGTGGATTGAAGATTTGGCACATGCCGTAGCCATCAACTCTCCCATGTGGTTGCTTGCACTGGCCACCTTGTTTGGCAGGATTGCGTTCTCGAGGGAGAAGGAAAAGTAAAGGGATTGCAGATAGGCTTTTCCCCTTCCCTTTAGTGCTTCTGCTGCCCTAGATTAGATGATGGGGTAGCTCCTGCATCACTCTGCAGCCCTTCACTCCTAAATATCACCTGGGTGTAAAAGTTCAATGGCCACTTGAAGACTGGCTTATTGGATGCTTTGGGGCATCGTGACCTGGATTGCTTTTGGAGCCTCACTTTGAGCCAGTGGTGGATGGGAATGCATTAAAGATGCATAAAAGCATCTTGTTTTGTCTGAGTGTTTCCTTCCAAGAGACTAGCACTTCATGGGAAATGGGCTGAAAGAAACAAGAGAAAAAGGGAAAGCTCTAAGCCCTAGATTTGTTTCTTCGTATTTCTCTAGTCTGAGCCTATACTTGGCTTCTCTGTTCCAAAATCAGTAAGAGTGGATTTCATTTTCCAGTTAAGTTCTTAGTCTCACTTGTACTGTGATTTACTCTTCACAGGACTTTAGGGAAGATTCATCTTCTGTTCATCTTGAGAAAATTGGGTGGAGTCCAGCAGCTACTAACATAAGTGAAAGACCAGCTTGAGGGCATTAGCAGAAGTTTGTAATGCTTTGAGTTTTTATGGCTCAAAACCTTTCAACAGATATCCTTACTGTGTGTTTTTACCAATGAAAAGTGATTTATTTATTTTTTTAAATCAGGGCTTTAATAGACACATCCTTGCTGCTGTGCTGCAGATCAGTATAATTAAACTTGTTTTGCATTGGATATTTCAGAGAATTGGGAAAGAACATTAATAGTCAGACATTTCATAGAATGTCCATCTGCCTTTTGATTTTTGATTCAGTAAATGTACAATTAGTAGACTTAAGAAGCTCTAGTCCCAGTCTCTGGGTCTTTTGGTCATTAAGTTATTGATGCAGAATACCAAGCAAAGTGAGGCCAGCAATGCTGTAGTTTTCTCTGAAACTCTAACCTTGTCTTTAAAAACTATGACACTTCAGAAATTCAAACAAGTAAAATAGAACTGTCATGTTGATGAACATAATTGCTTCCCATTTCAATGTGTAGATGTACCTTAATTTCAATGGATTGCTTCTGTAATAGTCAGCTACTCAAATTTCACAGCTGAACTGAGAGCTGATTTTTCTGCTACAAATTTACATTGTGCAGTTGGAGTGACACATTTTTCAATGGCTTTATGAGCCTGCTGCAGATGAAATGCCATCATAATGCAGCCCACCTTCTTTTAAATGAAGTAATGTCAGTCTCTGGGTTGCAAATAGACCCTGAAAATGTTTAGCCAGATGTTGACTTTAAAAAGGCAAAAGGTAAATTGTGGTTAATGCTGGATTTTAGTGCTTGTCTCGGGTGAATATCTGTACAAGGAGGCAGTATTTGCTCATGATTTTAACTGTAATTAATGAGTGATTAATCATGTTTGTGAAAGGGTATGTTTAATCTGATGTAGTTACTGTGTCCATTATGAAGTGAATTTTGCTGCCCACCAGAAGGGATTCTTTGCTTCTTGGATCTCATCTGGCTGATTATGGACTGAAGTGCTGCTTTGTACTGGAAGTCTTGGACCCAGCCACGATGTGGCATAAGGACTGCCGTGATCAGCAAGGACTCCTGCTGCTTGCTTTGCAAGGATTGAAGCTGAAACTAAAAGCCATGCATGAGCGTTTTGTGATGCTCTTCAAGGCTTCTTCCTTCTTTCTGTCCTCTCATGCTATGGTTTATCTACCTGAAAGGTTTTTTTAGAAAGCATCTCTTATCACTTCTGTAGCTTTCCCTGCTCAGCAAATGAGCCTTTTCTTTTTTAATGTTAGTTGTTTCTCTGGTCCTGGCTGCCTGTCTTTTCATGAATGATTTCAAAGCTTTTGGGCATTGTTGACTCTGACTGTTCATGTTAGAAAGACTTTTTTTTGTCCAAAAAGCAGTATTCTAGAGTGGTGCAGAGTCCTCTGAACAAGGATGTGACCATCTCTACTTAGAAAACTACCGCTCGGTCCGCTGTTTGCCCTGCCAAGTCTTTCCTTTTCTCTAGAGGTCTTGGCCACTTGAGAGTGTGAGGTAGGAGCCTGCAGCTGGAGATCACATGAGCAAGCTTCATCTGCAAAAAGTAAATTTCAGGCCCTTTGGTTGCCAAGAGTGGTCAGGAATGTGGTCTGTGGTTTCTGAATCTTCACAATAAATTGAAAGGAATCTGCCTTGAAACAGCTGGTCCGATGACTCCTGGAAGGTCAGGCTCATATTTGCATGCTTGAGAAGTCTCTTGTCAAGTTTTATGCCCTGCCCTTTTTTTGAGGATGCTGAGCATCAGAAGTCCTATTTATGTCTGTTCCTCTTGGGTCTGCAAACAGGAACCCTCACAAGGTGTCCTTTATTCATGTGGCTGCCTGTTCATTATGCATCATCTTTGATTTTTGGTTTTTGCATCCTCCTCCTGTCCTTATCTCTGCGCTGCAAATGGTGCAGAAAACAGACGTTAGATAAGATTCCCAAAGCCATTGAGCGATTTTCTTTTTTTCATTCCAGCGATACAGTTAGTCTGTTGTGGCGATGTCCAGATTTTCTCAGTGTTGCGGCAACAGCCTCTAACGCGAAGCCCTCCCTTCTCCCATTCAGCTTGTTGGCTTGTAGCTCCCTCAGCAAGGGACTGATGCTAGCAAAGGTGTAGATGGGCATCTGGGAGCTTAGGGGCAGATGCCTGTGTGGGAGTTCACTGCTCAGGAAGCTTCCAGAAAGGGGAATTGGGCAACTCCCAAGCTTGTCTAAGTGTCTCACAGCAGGACCGTCATCAAGGATGGTGGCACAGGCAGGTTGAAGGCTGTGTCAAGGTTTTCTTTGAAAAGATCCTCTCTGTATCTTCTCTGAAGAGGTTGTTCGTGGAAAAACTTCTGTTCTTGAGCAATATCAGCTGTTGTCATCTCTCATCCTTTCTCCTATGTGATATGAGCTCACTGGGGATGGACATCAGCCTGAAAACAGGAAAGGGAAGGGAAAATACTTCAGAGGCCCTTAAATTCATATTATGACACTTTAATTCTCTTTCTGGCTGCTTTTGTTTTGGCCTGGTGTGTTTTTTCCGATGGTGATGAGAGGGGTGAGTGGATAGAAAAGAAAGAAGCCATTCTTTCAGAAGGGCTTTTTTTTTTTTAAAGCAAAACTCTTAATGTACGCATTGCTGACCCCTTGTGCTATTTGTTTTTGTAAGTCTGCTAGCACTAATTGGCTCGGCATAGCATATTATTGATTCAAGCCTATAACCTCAGGTTTTTTGCCTAGGGAAAAATGAAGTGCTTCATGTTTTCCTGCCCAAGGCGTCATGAGTTGTGAAGACGAGTGATCATCATGAAGCTCGTTAGGGGCATAGTCCAGAATACCTATAAAGTTGGTATTAAAAAGGCAGGGGGTGGGGGGGCTTATAAACCCTAAACTTAGAGTTTCTGCTTTGATCCTCTTCCAAGTTTTGAGGGCTGGCAAAACTGAACAAAAGGCTTCCAGTATTTCCTGTTTTGACGATGCCAGAAATGTCTGTTGGAGCAGTCTGGTGGCATGTTGGTGCTTCTGCTTCTAGTGCCAGATGAACAGAAGAGCATGGTTGTACAAAAGCAAACGTTAAAGACCTATCTATACATTTAAAGTGTGGACTGAATTTCTACTTCTGTCTTTCAGCATTAAACGAACTAATAGTACATACGGCTGATGCAAGTAGGGTTTCAATGCTTTACAAGTGGGCAGTACTAACACGACTTTTGTTATGGTTTACACTAGGTGTTATTGGAAACAACAAAGCTATAGGAAAATACATCACAACTATGATCTTTCTGTATTTTGCCTGCCTCCTTCCATCTATTGCGTTTGGGTCACTCAATGATGAAAATACCCGAGGAGCTATTGGTAAGTTTATCAGTTTTGTGCATCTGTTGTAGGATCCCACGTATTCAAGCTGAGTAGCTCTGGTCACAGGAAATTTTGGTAGTTTTAATTTGACTAGTAGAACACTGTTGAAGGCTTTTCTAATTGTTATGTTTATGACTTTCCTGAGAAGACTAGAAAAATTGAAGACTACTTCAGATAGTATCATCTGACTTGGACTGACACAGATATATGCTACTGTACTTCTAAATGATGCTCACCTTATAACTGTGTAGTTATCTGCACATTTTTCCTAGTACAAGTCCCTGTGCTTTCGATCTGAATTTGATTGCCAGTATCCAGACCACTGGTATAGTGGATGATGCTTTGTCTGTCCCAGTTATGGCCTTGAAGCAGTTCATACTGCTCTTACAGTTCATAGAAGTCTTAGTTGAAATCTTGTCCTGAAGACCTCCACAAATACTGGCTATGTTTTTATAGCTGTTTAAAATAAAATTTTGAAAAACAAAACACAACAACAACAAAACCTGCAAACTGAACAAAAAAAACCCCACCCAGCTTCCATAGTTCAACATCTGGAAACCTGATGGCATCCTAAATTATTGGTACAAGTTTGCTGGCTAAGGGTCGCTTCTTGCTTTCACAACGTCTCACCTCTGTACCCTCTAAGCATTGCTCTTGCTCATTAGCAATTGGCTTCTATGCCCCATGAATGTTCCTTGGTCAGGGAGGTGTTGGTTAAAAGCCCTGTTTGTTTCCATCCTTCCTAATTACTCATAGATGTGCAGAAGACGATCGTCGGCCAGTGTATTGGAGGGCTGCTTTACGCGCTCTTTTCGGGGCAACCTCTAGTTGTACTCCTAACTACGGCTCCTTTAGCACTCTACATTAATGGTAAGTCTGTTAAACTTGTACGTTGGGACCGATGTGATTGTGATTGGTGTAATGGGACTTTGTACAAGAACCTTGCAATTCTAGTAGAGCTTTAGTTGCATTTGTTTAATAAATTAATATTAAAGGGCTGCTTCTGGTGCTGAGGGAGAGGGGAGGAATTCGATTCAGCTTTCTAAAGGAATCATCTTGCATAGAAAAAACACTTTGTGAGAAGAAGCATTCCTTTTGCTTCAAAGACAAAATCTTTTTAATCTGATGGTTTTCTCGTGTGGCTACATTAAACCAACTTGAGGATAAGAGCCTGAGAAAGCTTTTTGTTGGTTGTTTTTTTTATTTTTTATTATTGGTCTGTTAAGGTGTGATTAATAGTTTTCCAGTTACAGCTGCAAGCTGATATTACTGGGCTAGAGGCGTAAAGGAGCAAACTCAATATCTATAGGAACAACCAGATGGGCTATGAGTAGCTCGAAAGGTTTAAGACATGAAGTTTTGTTCACAATGTGGTGACTGAGTAAACATGGTGCAAAAGCATGTATGAGATCCCTTCCTCAGCAGCATCCCAAAACGTCAGCAAGAGCAAATTCCAAGGGCTGATTTTTATGGTCTTGATCCCTAGGAAAGATGCTTTGAGCAGTGTGGGAGAATATTCTTCCAAGTGCTTCTCCCCATTTCTAGTGAAGGAAGGTGATGGGAAAGGGGAAAACAGTTTAAACTGATCCAGTGTTCATCCAGGAGTGTAAGAACAGGGGTTTAATGGTATCTGCTGTAAGCGTGTTGGGGCGTAGTCTTGAAATTGGTTCTTTTTGCCATCAAGCAGGTGGGAATCACAGGGTGGTAATGATAAGAGTTTAACCTGATGTGTGAATGCTTCATTTTTGCAGTCATCCGAGGAATCTGTGATGACTACAACTTGGATTTCAGTGCTTTCTATGCCTGGACAGGACTGTGGAACAGTTTTTTCCTTGTGATGTACTCCCTCTTTAATTTCAGTCTTCTGATGAAGCTCTTTAAAAGGTAGCTATTTTCAAGAAGTCATATTTTGATCAGATTATTCAGCAAATGGAAAAATTATACATTCCCCAAGCTCCTTAATTACAAATTTGCCGCAAAATGTATTTCGCAAGATGAGGCTAGTATCATATCAGCTTATTGTTTCAGCTTGAAAGAAGCTTTTAAAGATTCACTGGGTTTTGTTTCCTGAGTTGGAGTCTAACTAAAATTGGTATATTTTCATGTAAATGCATGAATATGCTGATTTTCCTTTGAATGGAGTTGAATGCAGACTCTGCTAATGGTTATGTTAATTCCTGGTTTTTTTTCCACAGGTCAACAGAAGAAATAATTGCACTTTTTATATCCATCACGTTTGTGCTTGATGCCTTCAAAGGCATTATTAAAGGTAAGCCTTGCAACAAAGTTTTTCAGTGCAGATCTCTGCTTTGCTTCCTTGTAAAAGGGAAATACAAGGCTGCGAATATGCATGATGTTTGCTTGTTCCATGTTCGTTCAGGGTCTTCAGGAAAAAAAGAAATGCATGTGAGATTGAAGCAGCCCTGTGTCAGCAGTTTACCTGGATAGGAATTCTGCATATCAGCTCAAATTTCAGTTCGCTGAGAAAAAATTAGTGTCTGCACTCAACAAATGGAGAAACCATATTAATGTTGCTGTGAAAGTCTTCCCCTGCTACCAGTCTCTTTGGTCCTGGCCAAAAAAAAAAAAAAAGTCCAATTTAAATGCAGTGCATCTAGATCTCTTTCCTTGCTGCGTTATTAAAAACCACACGGAGGGGAGCTGAAAGATGAGTTGAGATTGCCCATTCTTACGTGAGCTCTGAGACCCTTCTTAAATGGCGACATGAGGGCTGCAGTGCCTTCCAGCATGCTCCTAAAGCTTTTCTGCCCTTTCCAGCCACTTGGTCCCCATTTCTGTGTTAAGTTTTAGGTGAGTATCCATGAGCAGCCTTGGGGTTTAATCAATTTCTCTGGTACCTTGCCCTCCTGATCAGGATTGGCAGGAGGCCTTTGTGAAGGTGAAAGGTGTTGGCAGAAATGCCATGTGAATGGCAACCTTTCTCTTCATCCCAGTGAGGAGCTGGCCAAGTCTGCATTCCTTGTTTTTTATGACCTATTGTCCAACAGCCCCAACTTTGGGCTGTTCTTCGAAATCCTTCATGACATACCTAAGCACACTGAGTACATCCCTTTTTCTCAAGATTCTGAGGCTTGGCTTATTATGGTATCTTGACATGCAAGGAGAACACCTTCAAAGAGCAGGTTTGACACTGCAAAGCAATTTGAAGTGAGATACTTCCTCACTTCATTGGAATCCCTGATTTGGCTCCTTGGGCATATGCTTTGATTGTGCGTTCAGAGTGGTTTTTTTCTCTGCAGAACACCTGCATCTTTCAAATATCCTGCTTAGACAAAGCTTCATGAAGGGGAAGCTGTTCTGGGATCCTTTGCTTTCTCCTTGCTTGCTATGTGGCTGTGAGCTTTGCTTAATGGGTACTGCTAGTGCCTTGTTCCGGAGGCATGAGATAGTCTCTCTGTGGCACTTAAGGTGTTCCTCAACAGAACATTCAGTTGCTCTGGAGAAATTAGCAAATGCGAATGTTCACAGTGCTGCTGCAGTAGAGAACTGAGGGGAATGGGGTGCAGGTTAAAGATACAGAAAGCATCTGTTGATCTTGGCTGCCAGACTTTCAGGAATATGGAAGCAATACCTCAGAGTATTGCAGTGGGGACAGCAGAAGATCCTGGAAGTTTATTAGTGTAATTAGCAAATTAGGGTAACTGTCCCTTGTACTTGAAGGGCTGAATTTATAGGAACAATGATAATAAAATCAAACCAATGCTCCACTTGTTTGCCAGCTCATGTTGGCTTCAGCTGAACCTGGGAGTGTTGAATGCATCAACAGATGGGATCTCGGGTCCAGCCGTGTTCCCAGATGCAGAAGGGCACTGATGCTGACAGGCACAGACTTTATCCTTAACCCTCTCAGTGCTCATATTTAAACACAACACCAGTGCAGCTCATGGCTGCATGCTCATCTTTCTTCTTCCACTCCTGTTTTGTAGCAGGAGGTGATGGTTCCTGCTGCCACCTCCTCCTCCCACTCAAAACTTCAGTTGAGCAGTTAAGTAGGAAGAGAAAGCTGGTATCTGCTCCAGGCTGTTAAACATGTCCTGGTGATGGCTAGCCAGGTGACCATGACTTTGGGCTTCCTTAGTGCCAGGGGACATGCTGCTCTTGCTCTGATATATTTTCCTCAGTCTGTTCATAGCCTTGATTTTTTGCAAGGTACTCGTACATGTGCAGGAAAGAAGGGGGGAGGGATGCGATACTGTACAGAGGAATCAAGCAGTGTGCGTTCACGCTATCCTGGTGACGCTTTGTTTTTGCCATGTGGCCCAGCCACCGAAGCTGTGTTTGTTTGATCTTGACATCTGCACTCTGCAGGAAACAGCGGTGAACTGGCTGGAGCAAACAAAGTGAGTTAATGTTGTTGGAGGGAACTTGAGTGCGCACTAAGCTCGAGAACGGCTCTGTTTCAGCAAGGGCACCACCTGCTTTGCTGCTCTCTGAATGTGGGCAACAAGATTCACTTAGCTCTGTTAAAAACAAACTATAAATCTGCAGGAATCAAATACTTTATAGCAAGTACGTGGTGCAGGACGAAGGCCTCCGCTGGCCATCATGGCACATTCTTTTTGCTTTAAGTAAAATACAAGAGTAAAGTCAAGATTTCTTCCCCTATATCCAGGATTGAGTGGAGCAATCCTACCTAGTTTTGAGGTGGGTGCAAACTGAATTGCAGCCTAAGTAGTGTACATAGATGTGATCAGGCTGAATGCAGGTCACCAAAGATGTGCTCAGCCATAATTGTATTATTGCAATATAGCCAGGTGTGGGAAACAGAGAAAATCCCCAAGACCACCGAAAAAGTAACTTCTTACTCGTTCAAGTCCAAATCTAAATACAGAGGCATGTAAATACATTCTGCATAGTTGCTGAGTTGTGTGTGCTGTGGGTTTATCACATGCTCAGTAATTGTGTGTGTCTCTAGGACTTAGGGTCAGCTGAGATGGTGAACAGGCTTTTAGCCCTGGCCAGCTGCTAATCCCCAGGAAATACTGCCATAATCATTTTTATTACGACAAAAGTGTCCTTCAACATTCAAAGCTGCAAACGGCAAGTCCTCCAACAACCTGTTCTGTGCTTGTTTGCAGGTCATGGCAGTGCTCTGTGCCTCAGTTTACCTGTTTGCAAAGCAGGTGTGGGTGTCCTGCCTGGGCTGGACACAGCTGTGAGGATGGAGGGAGGAAATGATAGCAGAGCTTCTTCCGGAGCACGCGATGCAAAAATACGCAGTGCTAACGGAGATCGTAATGAGATTGCCCCTTATTTGGGGGAGAACCTTTCTTGTGCTTTAGAAGTGCAATGATGTCCTCATTTCTGGCTACTGCTGAAGGCAAATTGAAAGGTTAAATCTTGAACTGTAAACCTTCTATGATCTTTAATTTTATATGCAGAAGTACTGAATGTGAAGTATCTGGTCTTTTCTCTTGTGACCTACATGTCCTACTGACCCCATCCACTTGTCGAATGCCCGGACTCCTTTTAAAACATAAGGGTGGTACAAGACAGATTATTACTGCTGTTAAAATGGCAGCATGGCTAAATGTGGGGCATTTTACACCAGGGTGAGCTCCAAACCGGCAGTAACAGAAACTGTGCTTCGGCCAAATTCATGGTGGTTGCAAATACTAATTGTGCTTTGCAAGAATGTTTAAAGTTTGGCTTGCTTGTTTTCAAATATTTAGAATTACAGTTTGTTTTGCCTGCTTTCCCTGTAGCTGCTGCAGGTGGAAAAGCTGAGGTGCTTGGGGTTTTCAGAAACTTGATTAGTATTTGGGGGTGGGGGCAAATGTTACAAGGAACATTATAGCCTAAGCTTCAGATTGTTATATTTTTGTCTAAAGAGGATGGTCCTGCTGTAACTTTTGAGTTTCCCTATGCAAAGTTTAAAGGGATATTTTGACTAAAGTGAAGAAAGGGACTGCAAAGCTCTGATGTGGTGGTTTCCATCCTCCTGTATCTCCCAGTTGGTATGAGGGAGAGTGGGTGCTGCCATCTGATCCCATAAAATGGGAGTACCAGGGCTGTAAAGCCCAACTCCCATCTTCTGGTTTTACTTGCTCCTTGTGGCACCTCAGGCTCTTGTTCCCCAAAGAGGTGAAATCATCCCCAAACCACATTTATATGCTCAGAGCCAGCGAGTGCCATAGAAATGGGAACACAGCTATCTAAATGTTCAAGAGCAAGAGTCTATTTACAACTGTTAATTACTTATATTAATGCTTCTGAGCTAACCTAATACATTTACGGACAGTTCCAGAGGCATTACTGGGTGTTTCACTTGTACAGGTTTACTTCAGGTGCTCTGTAACTCTATTTCAATTTGCAGTGTAAACTTAAGTGTTCTGCCAGGTTTTGCATATCGTCAACACTTGTCTTTAAAATCTGGACCAGCCTTGGAGGAAAAGTAATTACTGTACAATTTGTAGTCTGTGCAGCCTGGCTGCTCTTAAGTTTTTCGGAGATCCTGATAGAATTTGTTTACCAGGCTGCTGAAAGTATACGTGTGTGTATGTATTCATATATTTTTAAGAGCAGTGATTCTAGTGCTAGAAACAAAATCATATAAATAATTAGCACTGGAAGTCTTTACAGTTCAAACATGTTGCTTTAGATCAATTTAACTTTTACCCGTTAAAATAAGTGAAAAATAAATTTGTAAAGTGCTGGCTTTGTAAGAGAAGCAGCTCTCCTGATCTCTTTTCACTGGTTTGAGGGGTAGAGCTATAAACCTGGTGAAGCATAATGTTAATCCTGCATGATCAAGCAAGAACAAACCACTTTATTTTACTTGCTTTGATTGTCACAAACCTATCCTAATGCTTGCCTGTTGGTTGTTTGTACAGTTTTTAAGAAATATTACTACCATGGGCGCGCAGGAGACAGTTACTTGGAAAAAGCACGAACTGATGCTATTCCAAGCCTCGGCATCAATACCACCTTCTTGATGAATTCATCAGTGAGCAGATCCATGTCCCTAGAGAATCAAACAGGCACGCATGATGTGCATTATGGACGTGAAACTGCCGTCCTTAGTCTCATGTTGATGTTGGGTACCCTTTGGCTTGGTCATACGCTCTATCAGTTTAAGAAAAGGTGAGTTACTTCAGTCTTAGAGCTCAGACTACTGATTATTTCATATTACCTCTGAGGAATCGCTAATGGTTTAGATCTTAATTTTGTAACCCAGAAAACTCAGGTGGAACTCTTCCATTAGTGGTGGTGGAAGCCAAAGCCAGAGATGAACTTGGCTGGCCACCTGGAAAATGTTAGCAGCAGAACAAAATGTTCGGTCACTGGACAATGCCCTTCCGTATTTGGTTTGGCGTTGCAAGTGACTTTTCAGAAAGCTTTGGGTGAACCCTGTATTTCTTGTTGGAACTCCTGTAACTCCCCCCAAATAGGCATTGAACTGTTTTGGTGGGCAAAAATCCCTGATGGTGCTGGAAGGTCTACTGGGAACATACCTTCAGTGTGCTCTTGGGATTCAAATGCCCAGCTCTAACTTGGGTTTTACTCCCGTTGCCCTTAAAATTCTTCATTTGAAATGCTTGAGTAAGCAATTAAACTAAAGTGGAAATGAGACACAAATTGGTGCTTGGAGGATGTTTTTCTAGCTTGCATCTTAGTTTCTTGTTTCTTTGTGGGTTTTGCTTATGCATTCATCAACCTTCAAAGGCTATAGATTCCAGAGGATTTAAGGCTGAATTAAAGACTAATTCTTCACTCCGCGTATCTCTTTAGAATTGCGAGATTGGACTGAATTTTCACTTGTTAAAGCATTAATGCTCTCTGGATTGAGTGATTGTCCCTACTGTGTGCGGTTGATGGAAATTTTTTGTCTTTAAATTGCAGCCCATATTTGCATGCGAGAGTACGTGAAATTCTGTCCGACTGTGCCTTACCAATTTCAGTTCTGACTTTCTCTGCTGTGGGTTCCTATATCTTCAAGGAAATTGAAAGTAAGTTATATTTTTATTCTCTGGAATACTGGGGTGTATGAAAAAGAGAAATGAAATCCTAGGAAGGTTTTGCTAAAAAACGGCAAAGTTCTTCAACATAATTTCACAAATACTGCGTGTACCTCCCACGGCCTCAAGAGCTCAGATTTCCTCAATATTAGGTTTAATTCATTCAAAACCGTAATCAAATGAGGCTGAGTGACATTTTTTCTCTAGATAAATTATTCCAGTGTGTCTTTTCATTTCCATGTAATTTAAAGTACGTATCTCTTACAATAAAGAGGATCAACAATTTCTGGCAAAGAACAAAGGGCAGAGTAATTAGCAGGCAGGAAGGGTTGTTGCCTGTCATACAGACGTAGAGTTGATGATCCCAGTCTACCCTCTTTGTCTCCAGTTTACGTTTTCCTAATTTAGGTGAAATGGTGCAGAGCATCTGGGCAGTTCGAAGTTATACAAGGAAATCTAAAAATGAGACACCATTCATTGGCCAAATAGATCAGCTTTTCCATATCAGGAAGCGATAATGGGGACAGGAATTGCATTGTCCTGTGATGACGTGAATGGGTGATGTGAGGAAATGTATGGAAACAAATAAGAAATGGGCTTTTTTCTGTGATGGCCATTCCATCCAGTTGGATTGTAAAATGATGTGTGGCCATGTGTGATTTATCCCTAGTCATGGATTTCTTCCAATGGCAGAAGAGGAGGGGCATTTATACTAAAATGCCTTGCACAGCTTGTTGGGTATGAGGAAGTTTTAAACTACCTCTGTCAGTTGATTAACTGAGCAGGAGGAATATGCTGCTAGGTAGAAATAAGGTTTTCTAATCTAAAATCGCCTTGCATCTGTGGAAAACAAGTTTCCCTCTTTTGTTTTGCTCAAATACATGTAATGCCTCACTAGAACTAGCAGTAGTCTGTCAAATCAGGATGGCAGCCAAGTCCTAAGAGGATGGAGGAAAAAAAATAAACTAAAACAGCCAGACGAGCCTGTCTTGTATGGCCTTCTGGCTCCCACATGCCAGAGCATCGCGCCTGGTTTGCTGCCTCGGTTCCCGATAATTCATGGTGTGGGTAAAACATTACTTGAGTCCATGTGGATGACTGGACAAGAAGGTGCCTCCTAACATCGTTCCCTTTCTCTTTCCAGTGTCCAAATTTAACTACAACCCATCTGAGAGCTTGTTCGTGCTGGCCCCCGTCCAGTCCCTCTCCATCGGGTCAGTGATGAGCGCCATGGGTCTGGGGTTCCTCCTGTCAATGCTCTTCTTCATAGAGCAGAACATCGTGGCGTCACTCACAAATGCCCCAGAGAACAGGTAATACTTTTGGTACTCCTCTTACTCTGTGGAGGGACATCCTCAAGTCTTTTCCCAGCACTGCTTGTCCAAAGCTTGCCCGAGTATCAGAAAAAATATTCAGGACGTGTTCTTCAGAACTTCTCTTGTCACAGATGAAAGTAACTCTACTGCCTAAGTCCTCACCACCCCCCAAACCCAATATTGTGGCAGAGAGTCAAAAGTGTAAAGTGTCAATGAGCTCATCACATCAGCCTGTTTCTTCTTTGCCCACGTGTGAATGTTACATAGATATTTTTTTATAGTTTGAGGTCTGTGGATGTACCTCCAGATATTTAGGGAGTGTCTGACACGTGTGGATGCTTGCACTGCTCTTGCAGTACAGAGAATTTTTTGAAAATGAAAAGTCAATGACCTGCAAAAATGTCATAGTGTGATATGCTGCAGCTGAGCATCAGAAAAGAAGTGTTTGGAGCTGTTAGTCTCCAACTGAAAGGGTGGAAGTGAAGTAAAACACTACTTCTAAAGTCTGATAGGTCTGATTTATGTGCAAGCTTGAGTTGAGATGTTGCACTATTAAAATATTCCCTCTGATGTTTTTTGTGCCAACTGCAATCAGATGTGATATCAAGAATGAACGCATATGACTTTTCCAGGGAAACTACCATGTCTCAGAGGACTCTTTGCTAATGTAATGTGTGGGAGGGTTCTCTCCTTGCATAACGTACATTAGCATTCTCCATGTTGTAGCTGGAGTGACACTGAATTAGGGGAGAGAAGACAAGCCTAAATTCAGTTACGCTAATTTGGTTTTTTTCGACCACAGAATTTTTTTCCTCTTATCTTTATTATATCCCTTTAAGTGTTGCATGAATCTGTAATGTAAGTGGGTCATCTCTTTCCTAATATGAGTTTCTTCTAAACTTTTGGTGTTTTCCACTACAGTGTCTTTAAGGAATGTAAAATATTCTTTGGAGTTCTTCATAATGCCTTGTTACAGGGCTGAGCTTAGGTATGAGGGCATGGGTTTTTAGAGACGGAAGAAATAGGACTTGACACCTTCTGTTTGTGGTACCATCACAAAATAAAAATACTGTCGTCTATACCAGCTGAATGGAGAATGTGTTGTCTTGGTGTCTTACCAAATGTAGTGATTTCTTCCTGTAGGAAAAACAGTGAGAAGATGATGCTGTTGTGCCTTGCTAAAGAATAATCAAAGCAAGCGTATAGGAAGGGCCAAGGAATACTGAGCTGACTGGGCAGCATGAAGATAACCTAGGATAAGGCATCTAGATCTTTGTATGTGTGTTGAGCTAGACAAGCTCAGTGGAGCCTATCCATTGGTCAAAGCAGGTATAGACCATGCACAGTGCTGCAAGACTGCTGAGACCAAACAGTGTCCCAAGGGGACTAAAATGGTGCTGCCGTTAGATGTATGGCCTTTGTACATAGAAAGCTCTCTGAAAAGGGCAAGCAAGACAATCAAATGATAAGCCTGGGGATGCTGGAGATGTCTTTGTTCTGAGAAAGCAGCACATGAGCATGGGTCTGTGCTTTTAAAATGTGAGCCAACAGAGGAAGCGTGTTTACAATCCCACCCTTCCTGCCAGCACCTTCCAGCTTCAGAGGCATTGAAATGTAGACATCTACCTGACCTAGTCACCCCAGGGCTGCCTCAGTCAATGGAGGTGAGCACTTCCAGTGAGACGAGTCTTTTTGTTCCAAAACCGAACCCCACCCAAGATTTCTGCTGCCCAAACAATGGCCTCTGCTGCCCTTTGCGACAGATGTTAGGTATAGATCTTCATGTGCTGGGTCATGTCTACTATCTCCAGGCTCCTCATGTCCTAGAGCATCTGAGATGGCTCCAAGCCTCTGCTTAGGTATTGAACAGAGCTTGCTTGGGTGGCATAAAGACACCTAAATGGTGCACCCTTTCCAGTTGATGGTGCCTGGAGAGCAATTTAGCTGATCCCTTGTGTCAGGGTGACAACTGCTGTCCGCTCTGATGTCCAGGCAGAAACACAGCTATAGACTTTTAAGTTAGGTATCAAAGTCTGAGAGCTGAATCCTTCCCCAGCATTTTTCTAAACTTTACTCATAGTATCTGAGCAGTTGGCACCAGATGGGTATAGTGAGGAAAGGTCCACACCTTGCAAAAAATGGCAAGGTTAAACTAGATGCGAGTTCAGTGTTAGCAGTTGCTCTCTGTGTACTCCTTGCAAAGCGAATGTGGTCAGCTTCCTTGGTGAAGGCTGCCAGTTTCCCCCTCCCCTAACAAACAAAATGGGGACGCTACCCTGCATTCATCAAAGTTAGGAGCGTATCTCCTTGGCTGACTGCTAAGGAGGAGCTGAAGCTTAATGAATTCACGTCCCATTTTTTTTTATCTTGCAGTAGCAATTACATAATTAGGGGATTACTGCAGCATACCGAGCACACGTTCTGCTCGCGGGGAAGGAGGGAGATCAGGGTTAAAAACAAGGCAGGTGGGAAACTTCAGTGACAGTATCTTGGCAACACGTGCCCAGGTTTCTAACTTCTCCCCATGGGACTCTGCTAGCAGATATGCGTGTATATTTTGATTGGATTCTGCAATAACTGTAGTGGCAAAACACTGATGAAACTTTGATGGGCTGTTATTTTAGTGGGTTGCCTTTCTGCTCAGCGTTGTTCTTTCCGGGAGATGACTGTTTTGGGAGTAAACTATTGCGTTTCATTACCTTTTGTGTTCTTGCCACGCAGACTGTAAAGCAGGAGGAGTGTGAAATAACTCTGTGCGTGGAAGTGCGCTTTGGTATTTAGCATTCGAGCTCAGGTTCAGCAAGAGTAGCCTATTACGGTTTGCACTGGGTGTAACTGCTGTCAACAAAAACCTCGTTTCAGGTTGGTGAAGGGAACAGCTTATCACTGGGACCTCCTGCTCGTTGCGCTGATTAACACGGGGCTGTCCATCTTCGGCCTCCCGTGGATCCATGCTGCCTTCCCTCACTCCCCAATGCACGTCCGTGCCCTGGCCTACGTGGAGGAGAGGGTTGAAAATGGACACATCTATGAGACGTAAGTAGGAACTGCAGAGCTGTTCTGGATGTCTTTGGTTTCATTTGTGGTTTCCTAATCTTTTGGGTACAGTGGGTTACGTGGTTGGGCAGTTAGCTGTCATCTTGAAGACCTGCAATATATGAAGGTGTGAGGGGAGATGCACCAAAAGAAGTCACCTCAGCCAGCATGGCCTGTGACCTGGCTTCATCCCTCTTCACCAAAGCGCTTGCTTTAAGACAGCCAAAAATTTATGTTCTTGTCAGTGGCTGGCAGCAGCCTGCAGGGATTCCACCCACTCTGTTGCAAATTGCTCCCTGGAAGAGTCGGCCAAGGCCTTTTTCAGGTTTATCCTTGTGGAAACTGAGGAGATGCTTTGGCCAGATCTTTCCAGATGTCTTCACCAGAAAGTATCCAGTCTGATTCATTGCCTGAAACCTGTCTGGTGGTTATTACAAAGGGTAGGAAAAATGCAGTATTTCAGAGCTCCCATAGCATCTTCCACCACGTTTCAGGAAAGTGAGATGCTTATTAAACTTTCTTGTTTTTAACCATAAGTGACTGTGAAGCCATGCCCGGGTCATGGCTTTGTATTTAAGACTAGCTTTTTTGCTGTTCTGAGTTGTCCAACATGCTCTTATCAGAGACCTGTTTAAAAAAAAACAAAACAAAAGCACCTAATTTCTCATGAAACCTGCTCCAGAATAGAGATGATCTGGTCTGTTTAATCTCGGTATGTTACAGTTGAGTGCTTTTACCTCAGAAGTGGTAATTTCCACTCACATGCTGTTAGTTTTAATTATCCTGTCTTGGTTTCCATTTTCAGAGTTGCCACTTGTCAAAAGTGAGGCTAAGTGGTCATTTACTGTGGGGGGTGGAGTAGTTCTGCTTTAATTTCAGTCTCGCCTTCGTGCTGTTCTTGGTGCCAGCTGGCCCGGCCCAGCCCAACCTGGCACAGCTGCTTTTTGGGTCAGTGATGGACAGATTTCACCTTCCACATCTGGAAATTGCTGAGTCCTGCTGCTCCCTGTAATGCTTTTACAGACCTTTCCTGGGAGATCAGTCCCTTGAGCTCGTATTCCCATTAGTGTGTGTTGGTGTTGGCTGTTCCCACAACTGTATCTGTCTTGAATAAATGCAAAAGCCTATTTCAAAAAGAGCAACTTCGTAATTCGAGTTCTGTAGGGTTTTAATCCATGCCCCTGCTCCTGGTGTCCGTGATCTGTTCTGGGATACCTCTGCTCTCCATTTCTTGGTGAGATGCAGAATTTACACTTTGAAACCCGTGTGCCAAGCCGCCTTCCTGTGTCTTCTGTTGTCAATTTTAATACCTGGTGCCTTTTTTCCTGTTTTACCACCCACTGTCTTGATTCCACGTTCTGGCTTCTCCTTGACAAAGTCAAGTTCCCTGCCTGAATTAAGAGCTACCTTCTGCCCTTGTCCTCTGCTCCTTCACCCAGCTGCCCCAAAAGAGCATCGGAGAGCACTCTTTGGCCGTGCTAACCTAGGTGCATCTCCAGTGATTATCCTGAAAGGGCTGAGGGATGTTCTAAACTCACTAAGCATGTTCCCTCGTGACACAGTTCTTCCTCTGGAGGCAATTTGGTAGGTAAATGAGTGCTGTGAACTGCATGTTGGGAGTGAAAAAGGGAACAAGGATTTCCTAGTTGTTTGAACTTCCTTTGAGACTGAAGCTTTTTTCTCTGCAAAGTATTGAGCTATAAACAGGAGGCTCTGAGCAATGCCTTTTTATTATTATTATTTTTTATTTTTCCTCTTAGCCAGCTCTGCTGAAAAAGAAACATACTGAAGCCCTGTTGGAAAATCAGGAGTTCTTTCAGTGCTGGCTCCCTTTGCAGGCTCCTTTCCTGCACTCAAATCAAAGCTCTCAGTGAGGATGATGATATAAACAAGACTAAAGATCTACCACAATGAAAGCAAATTCTTCTTCTCCCCTGTAGAGTAACCACTTGAGTTTCATGTGGCAATCTGCAAATAGGCTCTCATTACTCATACAGAGGAGGTCAGGAATGGCTAATCCTGTGCTAGCCATATTTAAAGGATTCTGGGGAAACGAGCCTGGATTATGCTCTTTAATCTCCGTTAATTACTTCATTTCCATTGCAGCACAGACTTTCTGGAGCTGTTTCCTCAAGGGCCAAACCAGATTCTGAACATATGCAAATTACAGGGTTTCTTCTGTTGACTTAATGTGATGTCCTTACCCTGGAAATAAGAAAGGTGCTAGAATTGGTAGGAGACTAATTTGAGGCTGGGGACTTCAGCTTTAAAGATCTCCTGTTTGGCCAATTATGAGCAATTTTAACTATGTTCTGATAAGAACTTCCAAACTACTTTACCTGGCATTAGAAGGAGCTGGCAGTAGTAGCTGCAGTACATCTTGAATGTGATCAAACATTTCAGTGCTGTGATTGCTGCATCCCCAAGAGATGACAGCAGAAAATTTCATGAACTTCAAAAATCCAGTACCAAAGGGCTGCTACTTTGAGCTATTCCGTATGTGCAGACTTGCATCCAGTTGAAATGTGGTGGCTTCATATCTCATTTTGATCCTGAGCTCTTTGGTTTGCATGACTTCACTTGCAAGGAACCTAGCAGACTTGTGCGTGCTCAGACTGACGCTTGCAGGTCACGAGCATACCCAGCAGTGGGCTAGATCTTTGCCTGAAATAGCAGAAACGCTTCTGTAGCTTGCCCAATGATGAAGCCAGGGGAACCCTTGCTGTACCTGAATGAGGCTAAATCAGTTAGTGCATCCTTTCACTCCTGCTTTACTGGGCCACTTGAGAGGCTCGTAGTGGTTCTGGTAGCTCTGAGTTAGTCTGACCACTCCTTATTGGACTATCAAATTACTCTGAATTAGCACTTGCAGTTGCACTTCAAGCTGCTTGGCTCTGTTCATCTCCAAGACTTCTGTGGTGGTCCAGACCTGGAGGCAATGGGAAAGGCTGCCAAATTATATTCACCTAGGTGATGTCCCAGTTCTTTTAGAGCCGACAAGAGCAGTCTGCAGATAAGAGTGAAGTGCTCTACTCTCCCTCAGCTTCTCAAGGCATTGGCAGGGGCCTCTTGACATAGGAGACTTGCAAGAGGATCTGAACAAAATCTGTGGTTTCTTTTCTCTATTTATAAGTAGTCTTGAAACATGAGGGTTTTCTTTCCTCCTATTGTTTCTGGTAAATTTTTTTTCCAAACTAGGAGATGCTCAGAGGTTTAGTTGAAGTGAAAAAGCAAAGCAACCTCCCCTCACCCCCCAAGTAGGCTCTGAAAGTTGCTGCGTGCTTTCCTGTCAATCTTCCCTTCCCCATTTAAAAAAAAAAAAATCAATCTGTGGTCTGTCAGCTCTAGAAAATTTGCATTAATTAATTACATGTTTTGCATGGTAATAGGCAATTTGCAGTGCAACTGCTATTATCCACAGCAGAATTAAGTTTCTAGCTCTCTGTGTAGTGCTCTTGGCATTCCCTTCCATATAAACAAGGAGATCCTCATATACATCAAAAATGCTGACTCGCAGTCAAGAGTGTGCAGACTTTTTTTTTTCTTGCAAGAGGTTCATTAGTTCCCATAGAAGTCAATGAGTTTTCTTTTGGATAGAAGCCAATTGCATATGCACGGGGTAAATCGAGGAAAGGATTACTGCCCAGAAAGAGGATTCTTGCCTGGGTTGGTTTTCATTTTCTTTCTTTTTTTTTTTTTTTTTTTAATGTGCTAAACAGAATTAGTTCAGAGGGCAATTTAGCTCAGGATAGGATCTGTGGAGCTTTGTAGAAGGGGAACTTGGCATTTTTCCAGCTGCTCTGTTTGAGCTGTGGATTAAGTGCCTGGCCTGGATCCAGCAGAGCTCTGCCTTCTCAGTGTCAGCACGGGGCCAGAAGTGCTGATCTCAGTGCAGTGGAGATGAGTTTCCCTTTCCCGAGTGGCACGTGTCCTGCGCCTACCCAGAGTAGTGAGCCCCAGCGATAAGCTTACGTGGATACTGGGGCACTATCCTACTCCCCTAATCCCTGGTTTCTTGCTTCCAGGATTGTGAGCGTGAAGGAGACCCGGCTGACGAGTCTAGTAGCAAACTTCTTGGTTGGCCTCTCGCTCCTGCTCCTCCCTTTCCCTCTCCAGTGGATCCCAAAGCCAGTCCTCTACGGCCTCTTCCTCTACATCGCGTTGACCTCCATCGATGGGAACCAGCTCTTTGAAAGGGTGGCTCTCCTGCTCAAAGAACAGGTACGCAGACTGGGCAACCAGCCTGGTGGAACAGAGAAGGAAATTGTATTTACAACCTTAGCACTAAACTGTGTCAGGAGCCGATGTGTCAAGCTGCTGGTGTTGGGAAGGGTGTTACCCCCAAAACTCGTGTTCTCAAGAGGCTGATTTTCAGCTCCAACCTGCGCTTCGTGTATCCCTTTCACCTTTCTCTGCAAAGTGGCAGTGAAACTTGATGTCTGTAGTTTAGCCTGGCTGCTACTGAGACATGAGCAAGACAAGTCTTTTCCATGAAAGCAGACAGATGGGTGGGAGAATAATGCAGTGTCAAACAACAAGTGGCATGGTTCTTGTTGGGTTAAAAAAAGGTGGTAGCTGAATTGTTCATAGAACGGTACTGCATCTTGTCTGTCTTTCAAATTTCTGCATAAATTGCTTTCTCCATTTTCTTGCGACAAAAGAGTTTGAGCTTTCTTGTTCAGAGTGATGTCTTGGATATAATCCTTCTCTTCTTAGTCTGCTAAGAATTGCTCTGGATCCCCTGTCTCCAGGAGGGAAAAATGAGTGCATGAATGGAGCCAGGATAGCTGCTACAAGTGAAGACGCCCTCTAAACTGTGTAGAGTGCAAACCAAAAATGCATTCACACAATTGCACAAACCATTGCTCGCTGAATGTAGAGTGTTTGTAAATTTTAAAAACCCACTGTGATGTTGTGTCAGCTGCAGAGTACACGCATTTTTAAAATAATAATAAAAAACACTTTAAAGCATGTGCATAATGTTAGTAAATGGTGATCTTTGATCTCCCCAACAAAGCTTCAGAACAGGTAATTTTTTGCTATATTTTACGCTTTCATTTTGACTTGTGAAATACCACAAGATGGGATTTTTAACTCAAAATGAAATGACTTGCATTATTGAAACTCTTCTGATGTGGGCTGAAAACAAATCTGAAAGATGTGTTTTCGAGCCGTCTCTATTCCAAGTGTTGAGAAGGTGTTCGTTTGCAGTGTAGGCGGTACCTGGGAGCAACAGCGAGTCTCCAGCTCACCTTCCCTTATGTAACAAGGGTCAAGGGCTTAATAAGCCAAACATTTGGCTCTGTGTCTCTGCTAATCCATCTTGATCTCTAATATAACAATCCCAGAGGTTAAAACTGTAAAATCCGGGTAAAGATTACATTTGTCATGTCAATTTTCAAATGAGGATTGAATAGTTACTGATGTATGTGTAATATTACTTCTGGTTTTAGTACAAATTACGTGTGGAATTTTCCAAGCTTTGGTTTGGAAAATTAAAAAGTATTCTGAAATATGGAGATCTCCCTTTTCTGGAAACCTTTTAATGAGTCATGGCACAATCTGAAATCCATCGAGCCTGTATTGGTGCCAGCAGACAGTCGCTCATACTCTTCATTGATGTATAGACAGTGAGTCAAAGCCTGTGCTCAGACATGAGCAAGTAACTGTCAAAAGAAACCATGAGCGATATTTAGCCTATTAATGTCACTTTTTTCCCCTTCTTTCTCAAAAATGAATAGCTTGTATGAGTTGAGAAAATAACTGCAATCTGAGTACAGCCTCTTCCCGCACCTCCCCAGTCTCATCTCCTGGTCTTCCCCTGCGGGGGTTCAGCCAAGAAATGGGACCACCAGGGCCAAGCGTGGAGTCTGATCAGTAGAGGACAGGAGGCTACAAAATAAGGAGGAGCTGGGTTTCAGGCGGAGAAACCATCCAGTGGTAACAATACCCAAATGCATCTGCTTACCGTCACTCCCCCCGCACACCCCAACAGGCACTTCACATATTGCTGCAAAGCCCTGATAATCCTATTCAGGGGCATCTCATTACTGTACTTATCAAGATATTTGATTGCACTCCAGATGCTCCCAAAGGCAATTTTAGCTGTGGTGTGTCTCTTCTTCTCCAGGTTTCTAGTGCCCAGTTATCTTCTTTGTTTTGCTGCCAATGCTGTGGTTTAAGGCACTTGCTTTAACCTTATAAATCCTGCGTTCAGCTGTTGAACCTATTAAGGAGTTAAGGACTCTGATGCTGATGCACTTTGTGTGTGTTTGTGTGTAGATCGATGACCTCCTTAAAACCCTGGTGTTCAAAAGCCTGTACCATGTTCTGTAGTCACAAGGCCAGGTCGCTGCATGGCTAACGTGTAATTCTTCTCTTCCCAGACTGCTTATCCTCCGACACATTACATCCGCAGAGTGCCCCAGAGGAAGATCCACTATTTCACCGGCTTGCAGGTCCTGCAGCTCCTCATCCTCTGTGGTTTTGGCATGTCACCGTTGCCCTACATGAAGATGATCTTCCCGCTCATCATGATAGGGATGATCCCAATCAGGTACAATGCTTGGCTGCCTCTTTTTTTTTTTTTTTTTTTCCTGTCTCCCATGCCTTTTGTCCTTAGGCTTAAACTGCAGGACAACTGGGCAGTCTAGAAGAGCAGCTGGTACTTTCCTGAGTAGCCAGATCCTGGAAGTGGGTGATGGTGACCTCTTTTTCACCAACTGCTCAGGCTTGAGGAGGAGCAGTGCAGAGAACCTGTGATTTCACTGACTCTGGGTGTTGTGGAAAGGGTTCTGGGCTGGCAGGTACTCTTTTTTCAGCTAGTGGAGGGGCAAATAAGTCATCTTTTGCAGTGCCTGTGAGATGCCTGATCTTCCTGAGAAGTCATAGTCTGAGTCTTCCCTCTAGGTGGTGTTTGATAATGTTGCTTTTTGCTTTGCAATTTGATTTCCTAAGGCCTGTGCTCAGGGCAGAGCTAGAAACTTTTCCTAAGAGGAATCCTTATCTCTTACCCAGTGCTGTGGTGACCTTACAGACCTCCAGCACTGCTGAATGTCATTGCCAACGATCAGTTAGGTCAAACTGGCCACATTTAGTCTTAAAGTGTATCTTTAAAACTGGGAGGACTGCACAATATCTTGCAGTCTTGAGAGAGAATCGCTGAGAAATTTAACTAATTTCTTCCTTAATGTTCATTAACAGTGACTGCCCATCATTCTCCAGTTAAATCATTCATGCTCTCCATCCTTTGGTTATAATGAGAAGCCATAATAAGATCTTGGAAGGAACAGATCTCTTTCCAGTCCGCTTGATTATTTTTAGGCCAGCATGGCATCCAGAGATATCTGGTTGTCTTTGAGCTTGCAGTCTCAGAGATTTTCTGTCTGATCTCAAAGTTCAGGGCTACCAATGTGTGATCATCTGCCAAGGCAGCTATTGTGGTGTTTTCCTTGGGTGATAAAGATGGGTCCAGTTCTTTCTAGAACAAAAGCAAATGTCAGAAGTACCATGGCTTTCAACAGGATCAGGTTAGAGCTATTTGGGCTGGATTTTTAAAGATAAACAAAATTTTGGAAAACACTGAACTTATTGTTCCTGTGGTGACAGTCTCTCACCCACCCTTTACATAGGTGTCACTTTGGATGACTAGCTAAGTGGCTGCTACATACTTCAACTGTGTGCAGTGCTGGATGATTGACTCTTGTGGGAATTGCAAGTCTCGCCACAGAGCAGCTAAATACAGAAAAGAAAGCATGGGACACTCTTTGCCAAACATTCAAGTATCAGACACAGTGTAATAAGCCAAATTAGTGTGGAGAGAGTGCTGTCAAAGAACCCGATTTTTGTAATAAGAGCTAGATAATTTAGTGGTGCAAACTTATCTTCTTTTGAGTAAATAAGATACTGTGATCTTATACTAGCTCTGTTGCTAACTTGTTTCTCTTTCCAGAGCAGCTTTTTCTCAGAGCTGGATAATCAGCCCTGCTGCTAAGGGGGAGATGGCGCTACCTGGCACAACACAGAAATTTGCCCTTGGCTTTCCTTTCTGTGATTTCTTTTGCCTTCATGTGGTTTCTGTGGAGTCCAGCTGAGAAGGGAGCACCACGATGCATGAGCTCTGTAGTTAACAATGACTTTTTCACAAAGATTTGGCACTCTAAATAGATGAGGCAGAGTAGAAGAAATGAAATATCGAAATATCTTTTCTCTTTTTTTAAGAAGTGAAGGGAAGAGGAGGAGATGGGACAGTAGCCAGGGGTCAAAGTCAAGAATCAAACCCAGATGAGTGAGTTATGGCTCAGTGTCCCATCCAGAAAACCAGCCATGTTACTTGTCTGTCTTAAAGCCACATTTCCAGCTGTCCGATAGCGTTAGATGCATGATTTGCATTGTCAGTGGTGAGGGACCATCTTTTTCCACTGGTGTGGTGTTGATATGAAAGATAATGGATTACAATGGCTTCTCATTATTGCAGTGGAGAACAGCCTGTTGGGAGATAATGGGATCTCTTTGGGTATCCCCAGTTCCTGGCTTTGATTCAAAACTTTGGTATGACTAGTTTTTGGTCGCTCAGAGAGGAAGAATCTTCTTTCCGAGTTCTCTGTGATGCTTATCTGTGCTCCCATGCCTCTCAAGCATTTTATTTCATGTCAGGTCTATTTAAGCAGATCCTGGTATTTCTCAGTAGTAAGTGCTGTTTGGGGTCTGTTGCATAGCTGTTGAAAAGCCCTTCCAAGTCTTAAACTGCCTTTCTAGTGCTTTGTGCCTTATTTTAACAGCTGAAGAATAGCTTCCTTGTTAAGCAAGGAAAAGTGTCAAAATAAATATGCAGTAGGACTTAATAAGAGCACCTTCACAGCATATTGTTACACAGCCTTTCTCACCCAAATACGTTAATTCATGAGGATGTTCTCACAAACAAAAAAACCAGACCCCAAAAGCAAGGGAATCCCTGTCTCGATGGTTCAATGGAGAATCCAGACACCAGATAGGATGGAGGCTTACCAGCAGCTGGAGGAATGAATGTCACAGCCCTTCTTAGCCTTTTGCCACGGTCTCAAGCCTTGCTGATATATTTGGTGCTTCTCTAAGGACCAAAGCTTCTGGGCTGTCTCTTAAAACTTCTTTGTGGCGAGAGCTGAAAGGAGTGACCTGGGGTACCTGGGGAGCTGATTAAGTGCAAGACAAATAACCCTCGTATGCAGGTCTTTGAGCCAACATTCCCACTATAGGGAAAGTGGTGAGGAAAGTAGAAATTAGAAAGAAATGGGTTACTTCACCAAGAATCACCATCCACTAGCAAACTGGAGGCAGCAGGAAGCTACTACTTGCCTCCCCAGCACAAACTGGGAGTGTAGCTGTGGGTCGGGTGAGATGGTACATTTTTGGCACCTTGAAGACTCTGTGGTGACAGTGGGCTCTAAGAAAGCGACTTTTCTCCTGTGAGGATGAGGATGCTCTCTTTCCTCTTCAGCTGGAATGAGGAAGCTTCTTCCAGGAGGAGCTCTGCACTGTTATTCCTATAAGTGCTGTATTTGCTTGCAGGATTGGTTGTTTTTACTTTCCCCTGCTTCATCTCTGCTTCAGTCAGCTGGCTTATGTGCATGGCCACGGACAAACTCAACTTGAGAGTCTTGGGATGGACAAAATGTTACATGATTATAAACAAGCACTAATGCTATCTCTCTGGTTCAATCTTAGGTATAACCTGCTCCCTAGGATCATCGAAGCCAAGTACTTGGATGCTATGGATGCAGAGCATTAAGCGGGGTCCTCCATACATGGAGCAGCGAGGACAGCTCTTTCGGAGTTGGAAGGCGGCTTTGTCGAGGCGTAGAACAATCTATCTGCAGTTCTTTCTTTCACCACTTTCTTTCTGCTCTAATATGGCGTTGGTAATGCACACATATCAAAGACCAACTGAGCGTTGAAGTGTCAGACCAAAACAGCCTTGGACTTGGGAGGCCGATGCTCTTTGGAGCTGTGAGGCAAGCAAGCTTTATGGAAAATGCTACTTTCCACATCCCAAAATTGGAAACCCCAAAGATCAGCCTGTCTGTACAGTTGGGAGTATACGTTCTCAGAGTTGTCACGTGTTCCCTTGTTTGAGGGTGGAAGGAATCTGGTTTTTTTTTTTATGCACCATGCCCCTTTCTTCCAAAACAGTATAAGGACAGCAACCAGCCCTTCTTTTACAGAATGACAGTGCTGTTCTGGCCTTTGAATTTAATTTCCCATGCATCTAGTATTTCCAAATTGGTATTCAGGGTGGGAAGGCCTTGTGCTAAACCACTGATGTCAGGAGAGATGTCTGGCCATCTCTTCAGATTAGCAGGGTTGGAAACAGATATAATTTGTACTGATACAATCCACAGCTTTGGATGAATATTGAATTCCTACAAAAAGGGTTGGAAAAGTTCAGAGGTTGGGCTCGCATGGCGATGTTGATGAAACCGCATCTGGGTCTAAGCTATTTGGGAATTTTGGATCTTTCTACCATTACTTCTCGGTAATCAAACACAGAAGTGTAGTTTTGCACAACTGCAACATTCTTGCTTGCACCCAGAGTCAGATGCTGAAACTTGTTAAAGGGCAGTTCTGTTAATGATTGCATATACATATGTACAGTAGTGCCTATGTGTACATATATACATATGGATTTGTGTATATATTTTGCATAGATATACAAATAGGCCTGATTCTTTCAAAATATCAGAAGTGTTTTGTGCAGTCAGTGTTACCTGTGATGTCTTGACCATATACTTGTGTTCTGCTTCAGTGCTGCTTTTTCTCATTTGAGATATGGTCACTTTTTTCCTTTTGAAGCTGCTCGGTTGCTGGTTTTGTTCATGTGTTGCTTTTATTCAAGGTGTTCCTTTGCTGCTTTCTTCCCATGGCTTGAGACCTTCATCATTCTGTCGTGATGCTCCAACATGTGAATTTTGCATTTAATTTTTATGTACAGCATGCAATGAAAGTTGTCCTCTTTCGCCTCATCAATATTTGTTGGTCATTTCATTGTTTCTGTTTTGTAGCTAATCTCTGGTTTTCCCCACTCCCAGACGTTACATTATATTTCTGGATGAATCTAACTTCTGCTGTCTCTTTGTATTTCTGTTTATTTAATTTTGCTTGTGCTATGGACAGTTTTCTTATTTGGAGTACTGTGAAACAAGCTGCCCTTTAGTTCAGTGCTTGCCCTTTGCTGCACACTACAGATCACAGGTAAAGTGTGAAGAAAAATGTGGACCCCTGAAGATAATGAACTTTCAAAACAGTAGAAATGAGGGAAGAAGAGTAATATAAAATGGAACACATATATTATTAGCACAGAGAAGTGTTTCTTACCAATTGCTTGCCCAGTAAACGGTGCAGAGTTTATATCAGCACATGCCCTACCTATTGGGTGTTCCTCTGCACGATGAGGAAGACCAACTCTGTAATGAGGGAGGAAGGCATCAGGTAAAAAGCACCTATGCTGAAACTAAGCCAGACTCAAGCCACTGAAGATTCAGTGTATTTGCACTAAATATCAGATAGTATTTCATGCTAATGTAGCTGCCTACAGCTTTAAAACAGGTATGAAAACCTAAATTTTTGCTTTCTTATTAAACCCTTCATCTTTGTATTGATACTTGATGGAGGGGAGCAGTAAGAGTGTTCCCAAGAATGTGGCCATGGTTTATATATCCCTGAGCAATCGCAGGGGAAAGCCCTCAGCTTAGCAAGCAAAAAACAGTGTCGCGTGACCTTGAAAGCATGACCTTCGTGTTGCACCAACCAACTCTTGTGGGACTGCTGAGAAGTCTCAGGGTCAGGATGACCACCCCCGTATATCAAAGCAGGTAATGCCATGTATTTGGCTTTCAGTCGGTCTTGGAGGCAGCAGGGGTAACTCATGCCATGTCTGGCAAGTGGCGTGGCAGCAGGTGTAAATCCGTGCGTGGTTTCTGACCGCTTTCGTCAATATTTCCTGGCTTTTGAGTAATTTCTGTGGTGAGATCGCTAATAGCTGCTACTAAGGTCTGCATGTAGAAACGGGGCAAACAGTCACCAAAGAGGATTTTGGGGCAGCGTAAAGGCGGAGATGGTGAAAGCATGTCTGATCTTCAGTCAACGGAAAAAAAGAGCAGGTGACAGCAAACAGTTCGGTTCCTGTTGTAAGGCAGGGATTGCAAAGGCCTGATGATGCTTAAATAACATGTTTTTCCCACAGATGTCAAAAGATTTAACCAAAACTAGAATCAAAAGTGTCATCCTCTGGTTGAGTAAGATATTAAACACACATGTCCTGGGGTTGTGTTTCTGGTGTCTCAGCTCTTGGCAGGAAGAAGGCACCTTGTGGGATGGATTAAATCAGATTGTGGATGCTGTGGCTAGAGGAAGGAGAGGATGTGCCCAAGGGAATGTGACTCTTTGAGGAAGAGCAGGGGCCCTGGGTGAAATTTCCTCCAGCATAGAGCATAGTGGGGTGAGCTGGCATGCAGGTCTTGCCAGCAGAAATAGTTTTGACATATATCCTCCATCCACCTACTTAAAAGGACCAAAAATGTCCCTATTCAAAGCCTCTCTGAAAGCACTGATTTCAGATAGTGTCAAATGTTGCTAACTGAGACTGCTTAACATCCAGATAGCTTGAGGGGGTTAAATATCCATCACAGCTCTTGTTTATGTCTTTTATTGCTGTTGCTTTACCAGTATGACTTCAGTGTTTGTATTTTCTTTGTAGCATCAGTAGGATTCTGTTTTGCAGCTTTTTCTTTCTACAGAAGTCAGGGGCAAAGAATCAACTGATGGGAAATCAGCACAACTCGGGAAAAGAAGTTGTGCTGGCTTAGACTGGTCAAACATTTGAACCCATGTTTCAATATGTGGGTAGAAGGGAGATGTGAGACTCAAGGCCTCTTGTCTCATAAAGGGTTGTAACGATCCTGCGGACGACTTCTTTTCAGACAAGTACCTTTTCTCTTCTTGTTTGCTTCTGGTTTTGCTGACTTAAGTGCAGGCGTTTCCAGGAAGTAGGCTACCTAAGGAAGGAGAGTTTGTTCAGAGTTGATTGAGCACTTTAATACTTCTGTGAAGGTTAAGACAATTAGAATGTAAAAGAAGTTTTATTATAAGCTCTTTATATACGCACAATGCTATGTATAACTGTTGCCAAAGAACTGGGGTTTGAAAGATGTTCGTAGCTATTAAGAGAGTCCATGATGTTCACCTGGAACCGCAAGGTAGTAAAAAGCTTCTGAAACAAGTGGATATTGGAAATTACCTTTTGACAGCTGCCAAAACGATCAGAAATGGGGGATAGAATAAACTTCTTCTCTCAAACTTGTAGTTTTTGATCCTTGCATTGAATGTAGGAGCTAGAAGTTAGCTTGACAATTAAAATTGGATTTATACCTGAATAGTTTTGTTGGTCTGAAACTTATTTTGTTGCCTTCAAAAATACTGTTGACATGCTATGTATGGAAATAGATGTGTTTCTCCATGTAAATTAAGGAAAGTTGGTGTAAACATGGACTGCTGAACAGGCAGCATAGCACTTTCTAGATTGCTTAGGAGGCGAATCTGACAACTTCACTAGCAACAATCCTCAAATTCTCTGGCATCAACATTTGAAGCTATTAATAAATGTCAAGCTCTACTTGGATATGCATCGGTGCGTTGCTGTGAAAGGATGGGGATGGAGTAGATGATTTCAGCTGGTTTGCTTCAGAGCTGCCATCTGGTGAAATGCTTCAAGATGAGCCCAATGACTGTGGGATGTGATACGTGCTTCCTGATGACCTGTGTGAACTGGGATGCTCTGAAAAGAAATACAGTAGATGGTCACGTTTCCGTATACTGTAGGTCAAACAACTCTCACCAAAAGGTCCGCATCCCCAGCTGTACCAAAAGACTGAAACTTCGTAAACTTTTGTATATCTTATTTGGCTGCTCTAGAAGCTGCTGCTGAACTGCGTTCTGCGGACACTCTTTGAAGAAACATGAAGTTGGCCAAAGCTGGATATAGCTGGAGAATGCTTGGGGCTGGGAGGGAAGGGTTGTTGGGGTTGGTTTGGTTTTTTGTGGAGTTCTAAGCAACAAAAAAGGGACTTGAGACATGCCATGTCACCAAAAGAACCTACCATTTTCCAGTCTGTGTCCCACTAAGCATGTATCTACACTATCTGTTGACAAATGCTACTCCTCGATCAAACTTTTTTCTTGTTCGTCATGTTCTGTATCTGCCCCTTGTAGTGTTTCTACCTGCCTGGAAGATTGACAGGTAGAAGCAGGGTTGGCTCAAGCTCATCTCTTGTGTCTGTCCCCCCCAAACTTCAGTGCAAGCTGTTTTCTGTCATCTCCTGACCCAGCTCTCATCTTCCCCAGCCATTCTCTGGAAGTTGGCTCTGGCATCCCCTCTGTGGAAATGCTGCCAGGGTGCCGAGTGGGAATTTTTCTCTGGAGAACTTGAGCCTGTGTCTGAGCAGCAGTGTAGCAGCGGCTGCTCCCTTGGGGCTCGCTTTGCCATAATAAGCAATTATGATGGATTCATAATTGTCCTATGGTTGTACTGCCTTTTGCATCTCTTTAGATGATTACTTTATGGTGCAGTGTTCCAGTTGGGCTGTCCTCCTTTTATCTGTCAAGCTTCCAAAACAACTTAGACATAATGGGATGGGTTTGCCCCATTTTCTCTGTGCTGAGGCCTGTGGATGTTAGAAGAGAATAGTCTTCTCTAATTGTTTTCATATCTAATTAAGGCATTTAAGTACCAAACTCTGTCCGTTACACTACTGGCTGCAGATCTGGTTGCAAAGAGCAAACCATCAATATTGTGTAAAGAGCAGACAGATGAGGGAGTTGCCGGAGTACATGCTTTAGAAATACAAATTAGCACTTTCCTCTTCAGCTTTTGTGTGTTTTCCTTTCAAACTAAGACAATCCTTGGCTGTGTCTGTCTTTCCCTTGTAGAAAACCCTCCGTGAGCTTGGATCGTTTGGCACTGTTCTGATGTCGCATTAAATATTAAGAGCCTGTCCTGGGGGAGATGCTGCCTTCTGCTCCCCATCTGCATCTCTGCTGCAAAGAGCTGCTTGCTTGGAGAGCTGAAGTCTGCTCTTGGAGCAGAAGAGGGGGTGCATGCGGCATCTCAGTTGGTCATCTGTGTGACAAATTCTTGCTGCTGCAAGAGCTATCAGTATCTCTTATTTAGCCGCAGGTGGGAATCCAAAAGGTGAATAAAATGGCAAAGAGTAGGAAAAAACAGTTTGCAATTAAATTCTCTTCCTCTTGACCTGAGCTATGCTGGCTCTTAGCATGAAAAAAAAAAAAAAAGCTCTCTAGCAGTAAAGTATTTGTTATGTGATCAGGGTTTTGCAGAAAATCAGCATATCAAATTCAGCAGCTGGAGTATCAGTTTCAGTGCTTGGGAGGCTTGCTGAAGGGATGAGATCAGTTCTTGCTCTGCCTATCAGCAACAATCGGTGTCTTGGCACGCTTTTTCCAGGCATTGAGTTTAGGTAAGTTTCACGTGATTGGATGACTTAGATGGTTTCTGCCAGTGTCCATACGAGCGATGGCAGGGTAACATGGCTGTGCTGGTTTCTGCCAGATGTGGCTGGAGCAGAAGGTGCAGCCCTTGGTGGTGTGAGTGGTGGCATCTCCAGTTTTGCAGGTGATCCTTTTTCGGGAGGTGGTTGATTGACATCTGAGTGACATGAGTGAGCTCATGCTGTGTACCCTCCTCTCCATCAACTGCTTACCTTGGGAACATGGTTAGCCACCTTTCTATTATTTAAAGCATCACCTATTTCTGAACCTCTCAAACTCGGGACCAGTGTCACTTTATTTCAAACTGCATCCCCAGCAGAGTCCCAGCCTGCATAAACAGGTTTTTAAGTGATTCCCATCTTTATCGAGGAGCTTCCTTTGCCTGCCCAGGTGTTAGCAGCTACCTCCCATCTCCAAGACTGCTGGTGCCAAAGCGTAAGTAGGACCGTGGTTTTAAGTGCCTGTGTCTGGAAGCTGTGGCCGTTGGGATGCGTGTTGGATGTGTCCATCCCCGGCAGGTGCTGGGCTGTGCCCTGAAGTGCCCAGCAGCTCTAGGTGGATCTGTTCCCATGGGAGAAAAAGCATGATTCAGCTTCAAAGCACAGCAGCTGCTGGGAAGTGAGAAGCTTACTGCGCTGTTGACCCTCCGAGGATTTTAGTCTCTTGTGTTTGGTGGAGCCACTCTGATTGAATAAGTGAGGTGGCTTAGTGCTCTGTTATTTTCAGAAGTGTTTAGCCCCTCTGTCCTCCCTGTCCTCTTTATTGATGCGAAGTTGTACCTTGTTCCCACATAGATGTTACTCCAGAAAACAGGAATCGTCTTACTAAAGGAAAAAAAAAAAAAAAAACAAAAACCAAAATCCTTCTCCAAAGTATGTGCTCCTGACCTTTACTGCAAACCAAACCCCCTTCCCCTTGGTCTGACCTGGGAAAGGGGC